GGGCTAGAAAGTCGCAGGACAAATCTTCAATTCAGAAACCAGAAGAGTAGACATGTATTCCGGTAGATTCCAACTGTATGATAACTAGTTTGCTCCCAGATGTTCCTGCAAGATGGGATTTCGAAATAGAAAAAAGCTACTTCAATCATCACGTAACGAGACCCAAACGCCGTCGTATAGTAGTTCGATCGTAGTCACTAAATGCAGGTGCAGGGTCCCATATTCAAAATCGAGACCCACATGCCGTCTTATAGTTCGATCGTTGCCACCAAGTGCAGATGCAGGGTCCCATATTCAAAATTGGCGGTGCCATGGATGACACCATTTTCGTTCCACAAGACAACGGCTAAGTTGTATTTTTCGGTTGGGTTAGTACGTGGCAATTAGCCCAATGATACTTGTCTACGTTATCCTCACCACACCTACTTAAAAACAGCCACTGAAGAAGATTTTCATACTCCTTGTTTGGTGAAGAAACTAGTAACTTTACTAACTTGGATACGCCTTAATTACTTCTAGAGCTCTCGTCTAGTAGTATAGACGACTGTCACCAGTAAAGCATAGACGCCTTTCGGCGTCTTGCTCGCTCGTCAGTCCAATCGAACACAGAATTTCCCGCTTGTTGTTCCAATCTGCATAACAATAGAGACATGGCAGTCCTACACATCAACAATTGAAAATTGATTTTAAAAGTTATGAAGTAGATGCTATATCACTCGCGTTGGTATTTACATTCCGAAGGAAGCCTTAAACGAAGGAGATTCCTTTCCACTCTTGACAATCGTTACGGGCAAGTCGGCGACACGAGGTTCCATCTGCGCGTAACGGTCAGCAGCTCCCATGGCAGCAATCTTTTCGGACGTATCAGCATCCCTTCCGATCCAGACATAGACCTCCCATCCAGAATCCATCAGAAACACATCGTCCTCGTTTAATATATCCTTTTCAAGGACGGGGACAGGCTTTCCTGGAAATTGATGCAAAGAACCCTCGGCAACTTGCTTCAACTCTGTGTCGGGGTTTGCATCGACACGGAACAGAAGTGGCTTGAACTCAGTGATGGGTTCGACGGCTTCTTCGGCGGGAGCAATCTCGCCTTCGCCAAGGTAATCCCAAAAGTCGCCGACATCTTCGTCACCGTCACCTTGGTCAATCACCTTGACGCTTCCAAGGGTACACATGCCTTCTGCCCATAGATTAGACTTTGCTTTTTCCATTGGCTTGGACTACAGGGATATAACGTGGAACAGAGGTGAGTTAGTACGAGAATCTTCGAATAGGTATTCATTTTTCAGGACCGGTTGATGACGACAACAAATTGACTTACATCCTTTCCATTCCAGCACCAGACATGGCCCTTACCCCCGTACAGGATGAAGGAGTCACCCTCATTTAAAGAACTCTTGCTAAGTGGCATTTGAGTCATAGCGATTTGTTTTCCAGATGACTTGACACGGAAGAGAACTGGCTTTTCGACAGTCGGTTCGACGTGGTTGAATCCACTTTCGACACCACCGTCATGGTATCGAAGAGAGTCGAAATATGATCGGAACTCGGCAGATTCCTTTCCTTGAATTTGACGATGTTGGACTGGAGCTCCACCAAGGAAATCGTCGGCTTCGACCATCTGGGAAATTGGAGAGAATTGAGTGAGCAATTGTGAACACAGGCAACGCTAAAAATGAGCAATCAGAATTTTGAATTTCAATTACATACCTTGTAGGCGGCAGTACCGTACTCGTCTTGAGTACTGTCCTCACCAATCCAGATGTGGATATCGTGTTTCAGGGCGTCACTGTCGTCCTCCTTGTAGGTGTTCATGACTGTGAAAAAATGCAATGGCGGTGATGAGTGTTTTCTGTTGCAACGCACTGCATTGTAATAGAACAAGACAAAACAAGACTCACCAATGTAGGAATCTCCCTTGAAGAATTCACCGTATTGCTCTTTAGGCCAGGGCTTGACTGTGAACTTTTCAATCCGCCAGACGCGAAGTTCAGGTGTTTCTCCCATGCCTTCCCAGGCATCTTCTCCTTGGGCAGCAGCTTCCTTGCACTTGTGATCAATATCCGACCCGACTGTTGTGGAAAAAATGCAGCAATGTGAGCAAGATTGAAGAGCGAAGAATGTGCAGTTACGGCAACAATCCCCTTCATTGGACTGATGACTGCACAAGTTGTAACTTACTCAGAGATAGGTTGGTATCCTTCCACGAAAGTTTTTGTTGACACATGATTGTAGGTTGATTAGAAGTTGGTATTGTTTGAGTGGTTGTATTTGAGTGAAATCAAATTTTATGGTGAAAGGGCGTTCGAGCCAAGACTAAGATGATTCTTGTTTATTTCACTGTATCGTATCTTCGAATCAAGACCGACGATGATTCTGATCATCCTTCTTGTCGGCTCAAATCAAATCGTGGGTATCCAAAATCACAAAAAAAGTTCGATTTGTAAGGCGTAAAAGAGACCCAAACGGCATATGGCAGCTCGATCTTACGCCAGTGTGGAATCATCGCTGCAGGTGCAAGAGTAGAGAGGAAATATCATTGGTGTCACTACTGTTCCGCACAATAAGCCATCGAGATGGCTTTCGTTTTTTGGGAGGGCGAGATATGTCGTTAAGGAGTCGATCGAGTCGAACATCAGTATCAGTACCATAGTAGTCACAGTATGAAAACTGTGCCATTTACAACACCATCTTGTGGTGTTGGCGTCCTACTCCAGCGATGCGTAATAGTTGCCGTCGTCATCATAATCCGCACTTCATACGACTTGTCCAACAGGAATGGCTCAAAAATCAACAAAGCTCCTATACCATGGAGACTGTTAAGAATACGCCATCATCTAACAGGGAGTATTCAATGACAAAGATTTTTTCACTTTTAGCTTGTTCCAATCTACAACAAAATGATAAGATATGGCAGTGCTTAAAATCAATCAATGAAAACTGTTCTGGTTATAGATTACAAGACTTGCGTACGGTATTTACATTCCGAAGCAAGACTTGAACGAAGGAGATTCCTTTCCGCTCTTAACAATGGTAATGGGCAAATCGGCGATGCGAGGTTCCATCTGTGCGTAACGGTCAGCAGCTCCCATGGCAGCAATCTTTTCGGACGTATCAGCATCCCTTCCGATCCAGACAAATACCTCCCATCCAGAATCCATCAGAAACACATCGTCCTCGTTTAATATATCCTTTTCAAGGACGGGGACAGGCTTTCCTGGAAATTGATGCAAACAACCCTCAGCAACTTGCTTTAACTCAATGTCGGGGTTTGCATCGACACGGAACAGAAGTGGCTTGAACTCAGTGATGGGTTCGACGGTTGCTTCAGCGGGAGCAATCTCGCCTTCTCCAAGGTACTCCCAAAAGTCGCCGACATCTTCGTCACCGTCACCTTGGTCAATCACCTTGACACTTCCAAGGGTACACATGCCCCCTGCCCATACATTTGCCTTGGCCTTTTCCAATGGCTTGGACTATAGGGATATAACGTGGAACAGAGGTGAGTTAGTACGAGAATCTTCGAATAGGTATTCATTTTTCAGGACCATGATGATGACGAGAAATTGACTTACATCCTTTCCATTCCAGCACCAGACATGATCCTTGCCCCCGTACAGGATAAAGGAGTCGCCCTCGTTCAAAGAACTCTTGCTAAGTGGCATTTGAGTCATAGCGATTTGTTTTCCAGACGCCTTGACACGGAAGAGAACTGGCTTTTCGACAGTCGGTTCGACGTGGTTGAATCCACTTTCGACGCCGCCGTCATGGTATCGGAGAGAGTCGAAGTATGATCGGAACTCCTCCGATTCCTTTCCTTGAATTTGACGATGTTGGACTAAAGCTCCACCAAGGAAATCGTCGGCTTCGACCATCTGGGAAATTGGAGAGAATTAAGTGAGCAAATGTAAATACAAGCAATGCTGAAAGCGAAATAAGCAGAAGTTGAATGTTCAATCACATACCTTGTAGGCGGCAGTACCGTACTCGTCTTGAGTACTGTCCTCACCAATCCAGATGTGGATATCATGTTTCAGGGCATCACTGTCGTCCTCTTTGTAGGTGTTCATGACTGTGAAAAAATGCAATGGCGGTGATGAGTGTTTTCTGTTGCAACGCACTGCATTGTAATAGAACAAGACAAGACAAGACAAGACTCACCAATGTAGGAATCCCCCTTGAAGAATTCACCGTATTGCTCTTTTGGCCAAGGCTTGACTGTGAACTTTTCAATCCGCCAGACGCGAAGTTCAGGTGATTCTCCAATTCCTTCCCAGGCATCTTCTCCTTGAGCAGCAGCTTCCTTGCACTTGTGATCAATATCCGACCCGACTGTTGTGGAAAAAATGGACCAATGTGAGCAAGATTGAAGAGCGATGAATGTGCATTTGCGACAAAGATACTTTTTTATGTGAAAGATACCTTGTCATACACGACAACATCATGATTCTGTCTGATGACTGCACAAGTTGTAACTTACTCAGAGATAGGTTGGTATCCTTCCACGAAATTTTTTGTTGACACATGATTGTAGGTTGATTTTAAAAGTTGGTAGTGTTTGAGTGTTTGTGTTTTGTTTGGGTAAAATCAAATTTTATGAGAAGTGGTAATACTCGAATATTGTAGCTTTGACCAAGACTGAAAGTAATTCTTGTTTGTATCATTGTATCGTATCTTCGAATCAAGACCGACGTGATTCATTCCTTCTTGTCAGCTCAGAATCAAATCGTGGGTATACGAATCCAAAATCACAAAAAGATACAGTAAGGCATGACAGATTGATTTGATTTTTGAGGCGGAAAGAGACCCAATAAATGCCGTGGCAGTTCGATCGCCGCCAGTATGGAATCATGAGTGCAGGTGCAAGGGGCACAGAGGAAGTATCATTGGGGTTCCTCTTTCGTTCCACAAGACAACAGTACAGGATAGATTTCGGTTTGTGATTGGTACGCTGTAATTGAGTCGATCGAGTCGACGAGTTGAACAATTTCTATGTCGTCGCATATGATTTTGTATTTTGAATGTCAGGCACTGTATGCTGTATTTACAATGTTGGCATCCTGTCATGCGCAGTTGCCGTCGTCATCATAATTCGTACTTCATGCGAATGACCAACGGTAGTAGCTCAAAAATCAGCGAAGATAAGGATACCATGGAGACTGTTGAGTACACGCAAATCATCCACCATGGAGAGTATTCAACGAAACACAACTTTTTACAACTGGTTCCGATCTACAACAAAACTGAGATGGACAGTTTTCTCAACACATCAACAATTGAAAACTACTTTAGTTACAACACCACAGCACAATCATATGCTGTTTACATTCCGAAGTAAGACTTGAACAAAGGAGATTCCTTTCCACTCTTGACAATCGTTACGGGCAAGTCGGCGGCACGAGGTTCCATCTCGGCGTAACGATCAGCAGCTCCCATGGCGGCAATCTTTTCTGAAGTGTCAGCAGCCTTTCCAATCCAGACGAAGATTTCCCATCCAGAATCCATGAGGAACACATCGTCCTCGTTCAACGATCCCTTGTCAAGGACGCGGACAAGCTTTCCAGGGCGTTGCTTGAAGCAACCCTTGGCAACTTCCTTCAGCTTGGTCTTGGGGTTTCCATCGACACGAAATAGAATGGGCTTGAACTCAGTGACGGGCTCGTCGGCTGCTTCGGCAGAAGCAATTTCGCCGGATGAAAGGTATGCCCAGAAGTCAGGGTGCTCGTCGTCACCATCGCCTTGGTCTAGCACCGTGGCGGTTCCAAGGGTGCACATGTTCTCGGCCCATTGGTTGCACTTGGCCTTTTCCAATGGCTTGGCCTGTATCGATATACACGTAGGTGGAACAGAAGGAAATACACAAGAGGTGTGTCAGTACCGCAAAACTTTCATCATCAGACTGCCAAACGACGGATTCGTCATGACCACAACGACGACGTCACAAGAAAGCACAGTAACTTACAGCCTTTCCATTCCAGCACCAGACATTGGCCTTATCTCCGTACAAGATGAAGGAGTCGCCCTCGTTCAACGAACTCTTGGAAAGTTCCATTTGAGTCATAAGCATATTCTTTCCAGAAGACTTGACACGGAAAAGAACTGGCTTTTCAACCGTTGGTTCGACGTGATTGAACCCACTTTCGACACCACCGTCCATGTATTGGAGAGATTCGAAATATGATTGGAATTCGGCAGATTCCTTTCCTTGAACTTGACGATGTTGGACTGGAGCTCCACCGAGGAAGTCGTCAGCTTCGACCATCTGCAAATTGGCGAAGAATAGTTGTCAGGTGAGCAAAACACGGACAAAGAAATGCTTTTTGAAGTTGAATTGTCGATTTCATACCTTGTAAGCGGCGGTACCGTACTCGTCTTGGGTACTGTCCTCACCAATCCAAATGTGGATATCGTGCTTCAGCGCATCACTGTCATCCTCCTTGTAGGTTTTCATGACTGCCAAAATCGGAAGCGCAATGATAATGAGATGATGACTTACTTGGTTATCAGATATAGAAAATGTTTTCTATTGCACAGCATTTCATTTCATTTCATTGCTACACGACAAGAGAAGACTCACCAATGTAGGAATCTCCCTTGAAGAATTCACCGTATTGTTCCTTAGGCCATGGCTTGACTGTGAACTTTTCAATGCGCCAAACCTTAAGTTCAGGTGTTTCTCCCATGCCTTCCCAGGCATCTTCTCCTTGGGCAGCAGCTTCCTTGCACTTGTGATCAATATCCGACCCGACTGTTGTGGAAAAGAAACCGCAGTAAGATGAGCCAGATTGGCGAGCGATGAAGGTGCAACAAAGGAGAACACTTTGTGAGAAAGATGATGCTTCGCCAAATATGATACGATCGGACGACGATGACACCTAGGATATCTTACTCAAAGCCAGGTTGGTATCCTTCCAAGACATCTTTTCTTCAGCCATGTTGATGAGTAAGTTAGTGTTCTTTGATTGGTAAAGTATTGAAATGTAGCTTCTACACAAGACTGTAGATGCTAATGAATATATTGTGGAGTGGTCACTTGACAACTCACTCTTCGGATCGTGTCGAATCGTATCCAAAAGGCGCAAAAGATTTGGCCGATTGTGATTCGATGGTCCGTTGGCTTCCGAAAAAGGTGCGTGCCGAGCCAGTACTTAAGTGGACGGCGATGACCGCTATTTTCGAATATAAAACACTAAAACATGCAGTCTCAAAACACGATTACTACAGAGTGAGGCTGCGGCAAGACGGGCTCGCAGATCGCAGATTTTTCAGGTGGAAATGACGGAATATGCATGGGTACCGGTAAATATGTAAGCACTCGCGCTAACCATACTGTATAGTAGACGCTGATTATTCGAAAAGCAGGAGTTATCCTTCCTAACGCATGTCTCGTGTTCTAGCCCTATTCCCCTTCTTGCTATATGCGGACTGTTTTCAAGTAACAGCTGCTGCTGATGTTTGCCATGCAGAAGGAGTTTGCTTCGCATCTGAATCAGAAGCTCACGACCATTACTCCAATGGCGTCATTATTCCTATTGACTTTGGAGAGGATCAGTCGATTGCTGGTCAAGACTGGAAGAAATCTTTAGAGAATCTGGAAAAGGCGCAGAAATACATAAAAGAAGTAGTCAGTGGCCCGGAATTTGATGGGGTTCGCAACGGATGTCAAATCCGAAACCCACTTTGCAGTTTCTGGGCCGCCATTGGTCAGTTCAGATGGTCATTCGCTCTTTCTGGTTCTATCACACCCGCCTCTCATGCTGTTCGTCGCCCCTCCTGGATACTAAACTGCACGTTGAAGGTGAATGTGAAGTAAATCCCTCTTACATGAAGATGCAATGCGCCCCGAGCTGCCAAACTTGTGACCAGCTTTCATTTGAAAAAAGGTGCCCTTATGACAAAGATGCTCCCACAGCATTGAACCCCGGAGACTTGAACAAAATGTTCGAAAGCATTGTTGCCAAAGATAGCAACGAAGGAAGACTCACAATTATCTCTCAACCACCTTCTGGGCCTTGGATTGTTACATTGGATGATTTTTTGACCCCTGCTGAGTGTGAGAGGCTCATTCATCTTGGAGGTCAGCAGGGATATGAAAGATCGAAGGACGTCGGTAAAGAGAAATTCGACGGTACTTATGACAGTGTGGAATCCAAAAGTCGCACAAGCAGTAATGCATGGTGCGTGGAGAAGTGCTACGAAGACGATGTAACAATGAATGTGCTTTCAAGGATTCAGAATTTGACCGGAGTGTATGTTGTAGAAACCTCAACTCTTGTGCTGACGCAAAAAAAAAATGGAAACCTGACACTTTTCAATTTTTGTTGCTTTCAGGCCGGAGGAAAACTATGAATATCTGCAGCTGTTGGAGTATCAAGAAACTCAATTCTACGGTAGCCATCACGGTGAGAAACATTTTGATTAGTTAGTATTCTGAAGGTAAATAATTCTCACCTTTCCCACTGCTGTGCTGTGCTGCACTTCGAAGACTATATCGAGCACCACACTCAACGCGCTCAAGGCGTTCGGATTCTGACAGTATTCTTGTACTTGAATGATGTCGAAGCAGGCGGTGGCACAAGGTTCACTGATCTAGATATCACAGTTGCTCCCAAGACAGGACGGGTATTGATATGGCCTTGTAAGTTTTGCAGCAATCTATATGGAATTGATTTCTACATTGCCCGCTCAGTTGTCATGATTTGTTTAGCAACCTTGGACGCCAGACCAAACGACAAAGATCGAAGGACCCATCACGAAGCAATGCCTGTAATAAAGGGAATCAAGTATGGTGCAAATGCATGGATTCACCAACGAAACTTCAAAGAACCTCATGCGAAAGCTTGTGTATAACACAACCAATATAATACAACTTGCACTACCTAAAGACTCAAGTTTGTGATACGCTTTGCTTCACCTTTGCAGCATTTGCCAAAACTGACTTGTGCAATCACTTGTCTTGTTCTCTAGATTTTCGCCTCTTCAATATCACACCATTGTTGGCTTTCCCCCATGCTGTTATCCATCTTGCATAATTGATGCGTCCATGATCGTACTGCTTGTTACCTCTGTCCCGATTCCAGCGTCTGTCAGGCTTTTTCTTCTTATGACCAGCACCATTGCCATCTTTGCCTGTTTGGTGAATCGCAGGTACTGTAGTTGTGACGTCGATCATATCACTGCTATTCGCCCTGTGATACATGTAATCCACAAGCCAATTGTCGTATCCAGGTCGACCGATAACGAATTCAGGGATTTCCTTCCAAACAAATGTTCCCGGAGTCACAATGAAAAAGTCTTCCGCATTGTTGCCGAAAAGTTTTCCACGAGATTTCAATCTCGAAACATAGCCATCGATGCCCGTTGAACTGTTGAAGCTGTCTGGATGGTCATTTGACAATGAAATAGGCATGTCTACATTGATGCGACGTCCAACAAGGAGAATTCTCCGCTTCAGTTCCATACGGTCACGCGCTTCCTTTATGGCCCGAAGAGTCAGCACCAGTTTGGAGTCGAATATGATGTCGGCATTCATATAGCCAATGAAAGTGCTCATTTGTGAAAAGTCAGCTTCCAGCTTTTGAAATAAAGAATGCAGGAACGGAGTGCCGTAGGGATTTGTGCCAAAGTCGTCTACAACTCTTATGCCCAATGACCTGCACATATCGTGCACTTCCTGGGATTTGGAAAAAACGACAATGTCCACCTCAGGGCGCAACTTTGTGATTGCTTTGAGTGTATTGACTTGAATGCCATACTTCTGGGTTCCTGGTTTGGCCGGTAACAATGTTGCCGTCATGGTAAGCAATGGAATATTGCAAGCCGGTTCACATCCAAGACTTTCATTTCGACCCAGCAACCACAGTGTCTTGTTGTGAAATCGCATCTTCGTTTTCAAGAGAGGCGATTTGTCGATGCTGTGGACGACCACAGCCTTCTCTGGAGGGTGCTCTGGCAGTGGAGAACAGAATTCGGTACCATTTTGGAATGCAGCCGGTGGGAATGATATTCGGTGAACAAGTTCGCGGTACATGAGAATATTGAAGGTAACTTCGTTCCATGTTGAAGATTGCAGTGCTACTTTCCACTCCTCCATGAAAGCTTTAGTACGTTCATTTGTACGAATAGCCAGAAATCGTGTAGTGTAGTGTGGAGTTTCTGCCTCAGGTGCTTCTGCAATGATGTCGATTTCTTGCAAAGATTGAATCAGTGGAACAGGATCAGATAGCCAAACAGTCCGTATATCGGTGTAAATGATGTTCTGGCCACTCTCAAGCCTCTCGGAGATTGAATGGACTTGCGCTTTCTCGAAACTTCTCCCATAGCTCGAGGGAATAGACCCTCCAGTCTTTGTTCCAACGCTAGAATGTTCCAGATGAAAATGCGCAGGAATACGAGGTTCTGCTCGAAGTTTCCTCATTACCAAATCGTCTCCAGCTACAATCGCGACATCAAGATGGTTGAGAATCAGCTTTTTGTAATGCGCGAGCCAATTCAAGAAGTATTCGTAGAACTGATCAAACACAATGACCAGGACAGTCCAATCAGGACTTTCCACCGCGGTTACATCAAAAGGTTTCAATGCTCCGTCCGACACAGGAAAGGAAAGATCACTTCTCTTCAATACAAAATGCGCTGGATGACATGGATGGGAGAAATTAGCATCTACTGATCGCAACCGCGGCATTTTCTGATAGTCGGAAAAGTGCAAAAGATCATCTTTGTCCATCGACCGATTGGAGTTAACAAAGATGTGGACGCGTCTGGACAAGTTTTTTTGCAGTTGATCTTTCGCCAGCTGTACGGATAGGTCTAGACTCTTAATGCTTGACGATTCCTCTGCAAAGCATCCAAACTGCATGTCAACAACAATTGCATCCCAGACTGTACTCGCCACAGTTTCTGGAATGCGCCACCGATCATCAGTTGTGCTAGTGCCATCGCTGTTTTTGGCGCCGTATCGAGTTCGATAGAGTTGAAAATTTGACTGCTGGTTCTTGCTACCACCATTGAATGCTTTCCCGCTTGTTACAAGAGAATCATCATGTAGGAAAGCGATGGTTCCATTTGTGACATTATAAAGGTCACCGTCGTCGAAGCCCCATATTAGAAGATTACCACCTGAGGATAGTGAATCAATAAGAGAATTTTTGTTGCTCGAACATAAGCACTCCGCCCCTTTCAAACGAGAACGAAGATTTACTGCTCCATTGGCAACAGTCGACACAGAATTCACTACATCTTCAGATGACGGCGTTGTACCTGTACCGGTAGCACTAATCGTCAGGAGAAAGCGATGAAACTCCCCAATCAGCACCAAAACCACAATGAGCCACAGTTTTCTATGCCCCCTTGGAATTTTGACTATTGAGGGAGTCATATTTTCTGGCTGTTGCTCCTGCAGAGCATCACGTTTCTTTTTTCTTTGCTTTGGTTTGCTCCGTTCCTACTAAATCGCTTTGGATTTATTGTCTCCAATTAGGCCTAAAATAGTTTCTGAATAAAATATGTACTGATACTGTATTCCTTTGAAAATAAAACGTGCTAACTTTGTGCTCCTGGCTCTCATCGTAGAGAGAGCGTACTAGTGCATTGATGTAGCTACTGTCGGAAATAATAAGGCGTTGATTAATATTGCTATTGGTGTGTATTTACGGCGGTCTGAAGCAGGTGTGAGTAGATGATGGATGATTGATCTTGGGCTTGCGACCGATCGCTCTAATCCATCTGCTCGGGACTCGGCAGTCCAGTCAGTCACGTTACGTCCCCTCTTCTTCTATTTAGGCGACTCTGTTGTAACGTCTCATCTTGGTCTGTTTTCAACTCCCTCTTCTTGATGAATGGGTGCTGGCACCGAACAAGGTAGCTGAAGAAAAATCGCCTCTAACCTTCAATTGCAAATCAGGCTGCAGGACTCTCTCTGACGTCTGCAAGTTTCTGGCTGGCCGGCAGATTCAAGTTTCTGACAGTTGCATCCAGGTCCAAAGTTTGACTAGGTGCTTCTCGGTACGACGGTCAGGTACCGAGGATCAGTCCGCATCTTAGTCGCCGTACACAAGCATTTTGGGGGGTAAGGGGGTTGCTATATCTGGTCTTGAGTTTTATTCAACGTTGTACAGTATGCTGTGACATACTATACTTTGTTGTTGGCCACGCTTTGTTGGATCAACAAGCACAGTATGCTGGGACATACTGTACTGTTTGGGTCTTTCTTGTTGTTGGCTACTCTTTTGGCTCCTCTTTTGGGTCAACTTCAATATTTGTTGTTGGTTACTCTTTTGTGGCAACTTGTATCAAACCCTAACAATTGTCTTCCTTGTCTGTCAGTGACTCGAACGTTTTGCTTTTGTGTTGGAGGGGTTGTCAATACGGTGTGGAAGGTTCCGGCGGTCTTGATCTCTGGAGTTTGGAAGGAGCGGTTGTCTTGGAATCCTTGGAATCCTTGTTGGTGGAATCCTGCAAAAGCTCTTCCTCCTAGTCTTGGTGGTGCGGATTGTCCTGGAACGTAGCTTCTGTTCGGTCTGACTTGTCCCACGCTGTTTGCAATTCCCACAATTTGCTTGATGCGCTTCTCCTCGTCCTTCTCTGCTTGTTCACGCAAGCGCATGGTGTATTTGAGAAAGGTTTGCTGGGGTAGTCCATGAGTAGTGGTCCGGCCGCTCCCATCTCTAGGTGTTCAGCCACAACGTCCTTGATTTCTTGGGTGAAAGTTTGGAATGCTACTCCTGCCAAGTCCGGTAGTTTTGTTGGAGGAGGATTCTTGTGGTTGAACCCGTTTGGAATGGGCGATTCTGCCAAATAAAGTAGCAACGCTGTTGTACATCACCATGCCGTCTTCATATCGGATCATGTTGAATTTTGCCAGTTGTTGGTTTGGCGTCTCCATTCCTTGTTTCAGTCCAACGTAGGTGACCATGGGTGCTTGTTCGAGCGCTTGTCTAACGTAGACGGAAGAAAGCGGTCGAACCAATGGATTCAATATTGGCTCTATGAACGACAGTCAGGCGATCATCTCCGCAAGAGTATTGCACCACAGTAACCAAGTCCGATCTCGTCATATCAAACTTGTGTGCAAGTATACTGACAGAAAGATAGAGTATTTCTTTCTTTCCCATCCCACCACACCCTGTTGGGCCTTGACACGATCTTTGTGTCAAGGCCTGGCAGACAAGCAAGTCTCAGATTACACGTTTTACGGGCAATCTGAGACTGGTCCTTTGAGTCGCACGGTTTGCGCGCAACTCAAAAGGACCAGCTTGATGGGTGTAGATGGGTGTAGATGGGTGTAGATGGGTGTAGATGGGTGTAGATGGGTGTAGATGGGTGTAGATGGGTGTAGATGGGTGTAGATGGGTGTAGATGGGTGTAGATGGGTGTAGATGGGTGTAGATGGGTGTAGATGGGTGTAGATGGGTGTAGATGGGTGTAGATGGGAGCCAGCGCTCTCCGACCATGTGGGTCTCTCGCCTGTCGCATCAGCTGATCTTGCTTGGATTTCATATGTGGGAACACCGGAACTTGGTGCAACATTCGGAGGACAACGTACAGCTACGCGAATGTAGCCGATTGGTGAACGATGGTATACACTCTCAGTTTGATATGGGCCCAACTGACCTCCCCAAGGTAGTTCAACGCATACTCGCTGTGAAATGCCGAACAGTGTTGAACAAGCCGCTGGTCGATAGGGAAGAGTGGCTGAAGTTGGTTAGAATGGAACGCACGGCCTACCGCCGCGCTCTGGCGCCTCAACGCCGTATCCTTCACCGCTTCTTCCACCCGGCCCAGGCCCCTTAACCCCGTTTCAAGGAATCAACGCCCCGAAATCACCCGCCTTGTCGGGGGTATAGTTGGGATCCTCTCGATCCTGACTAGAGCAACTTCTGTCCACCAGATGCCTCCAATGGTTCAAACTAGTTGTTGACTCGTCGCTTCACGGTACTTGACCTTTACAGCCAATTATTCGACCGGCAATCGTATGCGCTAGATAGCATTTAATCGATTAATGTTTCAGTTATTATTATTTCTTACATTGTAAACTGTGTTGGCTCATTGTTGGAAGTAGTTTCTGCAACTTTTGGGTTCCAAGAGTTGGTCTTTGGTCTTTGGTGTGGAACTGGTGTCAATCCAATGAATACAGAATTTTAAATTCCCGCCAACAAAGAAAAGACCTTCCATGGCTTGAGACGACACAGGAAAGACCTTCCATGGCTTGAGACGGTCACCTCGGAACCGTTAGGGTTAGGGTGGCTTGATACGGTCACCTCGGAACCCAATTTTTTTGACAAGCTTCAACTATAGTAAGGTAAAAAGCATTTAAAATTGTATTGTCTGAAATCAACTTTAATGTATTCAACGAATATGAGTTGTGTCTAATTCTGGGGTGTACATGTACAAGAAAGTTCCCAGGAAAGTTCCCAAGACCACTACTCTATCATAAAAAGTACTTCCATAGATGCTGGCGTCAGCAGTGACTGTCAGGTACCATGCTGCTATAGTAACAGGCCACACCAGGATGTGCTAGCTACCGGTAAAGCTCATACTTGTCAATGACCACAAGTATGTACTGTATGCATTGACACAATCAATCCAAATGGTCTGCATCTCTAGAAGACTATCCCAATGAAGGCAAAACCAAACCTTCTAAATATTTACAACTTTCTCTTCTCACTTTTCTCCAGCTTTTGAATTTGAACCAACAAGGTTGCCATTTTGTAAGGACCAATTCGATGATTGTTGAAGTGGTACAGCTGGATAGAACGAAAACCTTGTCGTAAGGACGTCACAGGAATCGCAGCACAAGCAATCTGGCTGTCTCCACCAACTATATCTTGGTCAATAACTTTGAAAAGTACCATGGCTACATCTGGATGGTGGACCAAGAATTGACGTCCCTCGTCTTTCCAGATAGGAGAGTACCCGTTCTCTCGGATAGAATTGGTTGAGTACGAAACCGTGTAGTATTCTTCCTTGCGCTTTCGAACCTTGACGTCATGTAACTCCATTTGGACATATGGATCAATTTTCCCCCCTTTTTGCGCCCCATGCGGCTTTGGCAAGCAGGAAGCACACAGCACTCGAATCTTAATGGCCACTTGTCCTGGTTTCTTCCCATTCATAACGGAACTCGGTTTCGGAATGTATCCGCATCCTCCATCTTGGCGAAATCGACCATCATTTAAGGCCATATTGTCATCACTTGTTTGGAAGTTCAGCGCTACCATTTGACATCCCATTGACCAGGCAAAGACAGGATTGTAGTTGCTCGAGTCAACACGTATGCCAGCAGGGTAAGTCCGTGTCATATGATCCACATTGTATTTGCGCCATAGAAATGGACTATTGGCGCTCTTTTCGGCAATCTTTGTAATCTTTGATTCTTCGATCGAATGCATGTTAGATGGAATCATACTGCAGGAATCATCAAACTTGTGGAATTTTGTCTCATGAAAGTACGTCAAGTCTAGTAGCGACTTAGCACAATTTGGAAGATCTTGGTTTTCGCGCAATTCTCCCTGGATGTCTTCCGATTCGGGCGGATATTTGCCCTTGATTAGTACAAGTCCTTTCAGTTTTTCTGGACTTGGCATTTCCTCTTTGCTTGAGGCGGGTGTGGGGATAAACAATTTACCCCCCAGCGTCTTTTTGAGTATTTCCGCCATATGATTCTGATGCAAGGAAGAACAGTGAATTTCCAAACTGAGAATGATGGGGTACGAATCAGGATTCGAAATCAAGAAATTGTTGACCATAAGAATGATGGACAGAAACGAAATTTTGCTGGTGAAGGTGTGTCCATGATATACATTGACTCGCAACTTGTCATCTGTCTTTGATGTTTCTGGCCCGTTCCAGCAGTCTAGTTCTAAACACTTGCACCCACGTCGTAGAGCATACAAGTACGCCTCGACACTAGACTTGGATTTTAGTTGATCACCAGTCTTTTATGTGGCAACAAAATATGAAGGCAATGCAGGAGTCAGATTGCGAGAGTTTAGAAGTGGTAATCGAAGCAGAGACACAGCAGTTTATTTATGTTCTTTCCAATCTTCATGACTTACAAGATATGTATTGTGTGATGAATTGATCCAGTAATGAGACAGTGGCTTAGTGAGCTTTCTTGTTGGCAATTCTTGATACCTTGGATCAAATGCATCGTTTAATGAACTGTGCAGGTACTCGGCAAAGCGAGCTTTGTCCACTTTGCTCGTCACATCTACCAAGGCATGGTCGGGTGACATTTCTATATGATTCAGAATCGCAATCAAGTCCTTTGCATCGGACAAATCAGAGTTTCTCTCTTCTTGGACATTGTGCAAGAATTCTAAAAGACTTTTGGCGGAAAGGCACTTTGCTTTTCCAAAGATTCGTTTCCAAATCGAGTCAGTCACATCATTGTTTGATTGCAGATGTTCCATCAAGCGCATGCACTCTCCGTAGGTCAAAGATGACTGTGAAATATTCTCGCTTTGCCGAAAGTCCTTGAAGGCTTCTTTTGCATCCTTGACGTTCAAATTAATTCGACCACATATTCGGGCAAATTGCTCCTTTGATATGAGCTGACTGATATCTCGATCAATATCATACCAAATGTATCGCATGAGCAAGACCGACCGGCTGACCCATTGCTGTGATTCGTCATATGTCCGTTTCATGAGTTGCAGAGCAGCTATCAGCCCCATTCGATGCGCTGCATTTGCAATGACTAAGTTGATATATCTTTTGCCAAAATGCTCGTGGTGGAAGATTGTTACAAGCGAAGGAATGTGTTTGGTCTGTATGTTTTCTTCAAGAAGTTTGTTGCTGACGACTCCGACACAGAAGGCTTCCAAGTCACCGACATCTATATAGCGCAAGTAATTTCCCGCATATTTCTTGCCAAAACCTCTGGATGGCGTGTAAAATGGAACTTTAAGCATGCATGCCTTTGTTTCAGGAGATACCTTTGAGTGGGTCAGGAAAAGTGTCTGCTGGCAAGAACTCAGGGTCAACACTCTCTTCTGCATTTTGCCAGAGGTGCTCAATTTCAGAACCGGGATCCCTTCGTGAAGCGGTCGCATCAAGGAGATATTCTTCATTCCCTCCCGCACGAAGAAACCAGGTGTGGACACGAAGCTAGAAGATGTTTCTCGCTCCAAACTTTCCTTCGCCATTAGGTGGTACCGTCGACTTCCAGGAGTAAAAGAAGATCTTCGCGACGGCTTGGAGCCCTTTCGGCAACTCTTTTCTTTGGTGCGAGCAGAAGACGGTTGCATAAAGTGTTCGTTTTCTGGTCGAAGTCTTGGACTTGGAGTCCTTTTGTTTGGCATGGTTGATATTCCACTTTCAACTCTCGCTTTCGTTTGTTGTGGTGTTTGCCCGACCAAAAATCTTCATAAATAATTTTGGTAATTGGTCGCGCAGAATACTCGTTCCTCACACTTCATGTCAGTCGAATGAATCAACTTCGTTCTCCACTTCTCAAGCAAGCAAGCCTGCATAGCGAGCGTACCGGTAATGTTTGGACACTAAACTCGGGATTGGATCTTTGACTGAAACGTCGAGACATCCGAGTTCGGGTTTGCACAATCGGTGATGGCTGAACGATCTCATGGCCCGTTCGGGTTGCCGACAATCAACCGAACGATAAAGAAACGAAAGAGAGATTACTATAGTACCTATTATACTTGAAGAGCGATGAAGTGGGAGAACAATGTCAACGGAAGCTTTTGGAAATTGAGGTTCGAACAGCTGAGTTCACGAAAATCCTTGAAACGAAATAAGGTTGCGCACGGTCAAGGTGGACTGAGGCAATGCACCACCAGTGACTTGACGGCTGTCGGGTCGCTTCCTTCTACTGCTGTTCGATCCAAGAAAGAAGAAGAAGAAATCTTTCTGGACAAAATCCCTCTGCCTGTCATGATTCTGCTACTTACTCAATTCAATACCAACGATTTTGAAGCTCTCTTTCAAACCAAATGTCGTCCGGTCCTTGTGGATGGTAAACAATCATCATCACATGTGACGGAACTACTCATGTTTCACTGGGATGTAGATGGCACGAAATCGGACAACATTTGGGACGATCGATGGATGAACAACAAGGAGAACCCTCTTCTATCAACAACGGCAGTCCAAGCATTATTCACAATTGGATGCTTGGCGTTTGATTATTTGGTGTCCAGCAAGTGTCTATCTGGGAAAACGGAGGACTATCATTTTGTTCCAGGGATTGAAAAGACTATCAATGTCCAAAATCATCCCGAAATCTATTGGATGGCAAGAGACAACAACAACAATAAGAACGACGCTTCCACCGTAGGTCGGGACATATTTTCCATCATACTGCCACTCCATGTGGAAGGATCCTTGTTACGTCTCATTTGCCTAGAAACAGGAGAACAACGTTTTATCTATATACCCTTTGGAAAGTTTGTCGTTGTTAACAGTTCTCGATATGCCTGCGGACATGGGTATGGGCAATCACCTGGCAATCGATGCATTCTAGGTCTCATCATTCCAAAAGAACCTATTGAGTGGCGCTGCATATTGATGGGCCATCACATTGACACTATACCTACTGAAAGTCCACAGGAAGTTTGGGAGAAAACAGCAAAGCGAGTTGACAAATGCTCTTCCAAGAAGTACGCTCGAGCTATGGACTTTCCGGGATGTGCTCTGCTTGACAACTTGCGGTGATTTGACATGTTGAAACTGATTAATATTTCTATAGACTTGATTGTTATTGAGAATAAATACTTGTTCAGAGTATTTCCTTGTCATATCTCTTTCAGATCATAGATCTCATCCACGACAATTCACAAAAAATAATATGCTCTGGCCAATGAAAGGCCCTGTCTATTTCTTAGATATCGACAAAACCTTTATCCGACTCCGAGTCGTCAATTTCATTTGTACCTCCGATCTGGGACATGTTGGAGTTCTCCATCAAAAAAAGGTTCCCCTCGTCCGAACAAGCAACGAGCATTTTATTGCCACCATTCGGGGCATAGGTAACCACTCTAACCTTGTCGCTATGATTCGGAAGGTTCAACGTCTGATATGGATCTATTCGAAAATCGAGGCAACCATCATCCTCAAAAGCACAGTCGTCGTCATCATCAAAAGGGGCATTGTCCACTGCATCATTCAGATTCCAAATGGAAATTGTGCCGAGTAGTTCACCAACCGCAAGTTGTTCGTCGAGTGGATCGACACCAAAGCGCGAGAAATAGTTACGACGACGACCAGAGACTTGGAACCTCATGAACACGATGACGTCCTTCGCGGGAGGATGTCCCGCCACTTCTTGTTGCGGCTGGCTCTCATCTTCAATGGAAAAGTCTGGTTCCCAAAGCAAAAACTCATTGTCTATACACTTGGAGAGTATCCGCCCATCTTTGAACCAATGGACGCAGTCCACAGGGGAAACATGCAGTTTATTACTGGCGAACTTTGGAAATTGATCATAGTAGGGCTGTCCTTTGGCAACGGATTCGTCTGGTATTGGCCGTCTAGAGACATGCGACGCTCCGGTAAAACGTACATCGCATACTCCATTCCACAGCCGTACGTAACCATCGACGCCAGAGGAGGCAAACATTTTCCCTTCGAAATGCCAAGAAAGACTCAGAACTGCCTTGCGATGACCATAGGTCCCAGCAAATGCTGCGACACAGGCACGGACGTCCAAGTTCCACAATCGAATACCCTCGTCCCCTACAAATCATTGAAACCGATGACAGGTTAGCGAAATAGGTATGAAAGAAACAGCGTTCAAAATATTTACTAACCCGCAGAACTCAATAAAAAGGAATCGTCACTCGGTGGCACTTTCAAATCGTTAATCACCCCTCGATGACCTTCAAGAGTGTGAGCAAGACACCTTTTGTCTATATCCACCAGCTTGATGATGGCCGCTTTCCCACCCAGAATAAGAAATGGCGATCCATTAATAGATCTGCCTCCAAATGCAGAGGCCCGAAATTTCTCGTCTGGATCGACGTCAATGAAAGTGGACCATGGTCGCAATGGGTCATGAGGATTGTCTCTTTCCACTGCCACTATCTGTGCCTTGACACCACCGCAACAGGCAAGGAGCTGAAGTTTCTTTCCAGTCTTTTTATCCTCGTAAATATGCTTGCTCCACGAAAGACAGTAGTTGGGGTATCGGTCTTCTTCCCGCTCTTTTTCAGCACCTGGCGCTTCCTTCAAATCCAAAAGATTCTGGTACACATACTTGGGTGGACCCCAACTCGTCATATTCGGTGGGTACTACCGTTCATTCAATCAGTGGACATTGGCAACTAGTCTAAACAAGGGTAATTGTATGCGTCATTGAAATAGAAAATGGGGCTGCTCTTTCGGAAATCAAGGCTAGAGTACCTGGTACCGACCGGAAGTATGAGGAACCGTGTACTAATAACTTCGTTACTGTCTGATTTTGTAGACTTTTAGATGTCGGGTATTACGCACATACGGCCAGACGCTTTTCCGAAACGGTAAGTTGAGGCTCAAGGCTGAGCCTTTCCATTCTTCACATCCAAGGCATACACTATCTATTGACTGGTTGGACTAGTGTGTCAATACCAGTACCAGGTACGTTGTCTATTACCATCCATCTCCTGTGAAGGTAAAAGCTTATGCCAAGAGTCTTGTTTATCATCCCCCAACAGGAACACGGACACATCTTATGGCACGGCTGAAACACTGCTGGGACCCAAACACCATGAAGCCATCACCCAACAGCAGTGTAACGGCATCAAGGGGTCGGTACTCGTACTGGTACGATGACACCTCTGAAAACTGACCGCGGTGTTTTTGACGCTGACACCCACTGGCTGAACGTTGCCACACCTTCGATTTTCCCGTTGAGAACAGACCGGTGATGGGACACATGTCACACAAAGATCATCGCAACCAACAACAGTGTACCGGTACCGATACCGCGGTACTGGTACCACTACACACTACAGTACCCCTGGTACCTCTGAAAACTGACCACAGTATTGGGACTGACGCTGAAAGGTGAAAGGCCAATATGACCAGAATTGCGGGAACTATTGGTTCTAACTTACTCTTGTTCTATTGTAGGTAATATTCTACAGGTACAGTTTTTATAAAATAAAAAAAAGAAGCATTGGAGCTTTTACCTCACAGACTTGGTTCCCACGAACGATACGAATGCAAGGTGAACCTTTTATATAGAATAACGATCGTTCGACCCAGACAAGTTTCTGCGAATGTACGGTCTTTTCTGAGAAGTTGTTTCCCCCCACCAAAGAGAATCAATCAAGAATTTTTATATGAGTCAGATAGTATTAGCGGTAGATATGAAAGCCCCCGGCGGCCCCCCGAAACAAGCCGGGAATGCGAAGTGCGGTAATTTGAAATTTTGAAGTGTACATACCGTACAGCAGAGTGCGCGGAAGGGTCACGTCAGTGTGTGTCGTTAATTATTTTGAATAAAACTGTGGTATGAATCCAAATGACGTTTATTCTTTGAGGTTCTGAATTGTACCGTGGGATACAAACGACGTCGTGCTGAGGCTCGTCTGGACAATAACAAAAGTGTTTTGGATTGCGATCGGTCTTGGTTCGTTTATTAGGTCTATTAAGTACCGTTCTGAAGAGAAAAAAAGCTTCGAAAATGCAGCGCTTTTCCCTCACCGCTTCGAAAGAATGCACTGCGAGCTAGGCAAAACATCAAATCATGTCCTCATAATAATCTAAATCTCATTACAACGACAAAACATGAACAGACCATCAATGTATTTACACCAAATAATGGAAATGAACAATGAGGCAGCTGCCTGCATCGTGCAAAAGGAATATGCTCAAGGAATAGAGAAACTGATATTCGGTGTGAGACAGCTACAAACACATTTGGTGGAGATGTCTGAGCTTTTAGATGGCAACAGCGCTGATATCCACTCTGACTCTCCTCTGGATTCATGGATGTATCCTGCGATGGAAGCTATCCACAGCGATTCAGATGCCTCATTCTTTGTATACAGAAGGCCACTGGTTGTCTCGCCACTGGATATTGGCAGAGCCCGAGTTCAGGCTGAAAATATGAAATTTTATCACCAGTATGTCACAGGAGGAAACGTCAATCTTGTGGTTGCAATGCTCTTCAACTATGGGCTCGCTTGCCATCTATCTCATATTGACTTTGAAGGGAGATTGAATGATGGATCCAGGCCCGATTATGACCTTCTGCAAAGGGCCAGTCAGATGTATGATCTTGCGATTACAAATCTCCGTCGCTTGGCGGTTCCAAAATCGACTGAACGCGGGAGCGTCGTCTCGGACAACATTCAATTCTTCCGAGCGGCAATGAACAATCTGGCCATTGCCGAGCAAACCCGATACGTCATGGCGGCGTCCCCCATTGTGGGCATTCCATCCAACAAGGGCTTTGAACGGCTACGGGAGCTTTTGCTTCGGCATCCACCTGCATCCGATGACGCTCCCGAAACTACCTTGTGGAATTGCTACTTGTCAAATATTTTGCGAGTGACCAACTCGTTTCAACCCAATTACTGTGCAGCCGCATGTTGAAAAGAAACATTTTCTCTAAAGTTTTGAAGCATATTATAAAATAATTTTTGATTGAACATATTTTTAAACCAGCTATTTTATCAATCGTATCAATCCAAACATGGGCTAGTATGAATCCAGAGCTAGTTTAGTATGATGCGATAATACAGTATAGTACTACCTTCCTGGTTCCTGGTACTCTAATATGGTGCTGGTACCTGGTACTAGCTAGTACAGTGTGGATTGTGGATTGGGAGAAGAATTCAGGTTTTGACACCAAAGGGGGGAATGATCAAGATTTCGCCCCAGTGAGGTGCCCAAACGTAGCGTCCCCAAACGGCTTTCGATTCAAAACCTTTGTCAAAAGCAAAGCTAATTTTTAATTTGCTCAACTGATGGTCTTTGGTCTGACTTGTCCTGTTTGTTGTTGTTGTTGTCACCATTCACAATAGATCAACTGAAATCTATCAGTTTGCTTTCCCCTATCGTCATGTCTTGGTCATGCAGTCTTTGTACCTTTGAAAACGTCTCTGAAAAGTCAACTCACTGCCTAATGTGTGGCTCTAAGAATCTACGGCATCGAGCTCCCAATGCAACCTCTGCAATCAGCAACGACGGCGAGGCAACAAGCAATTCCAGGGCAAGGAAAGAGGCAAGCAGTATAAAGAATAAATCGCCGCAGCAGCTGACAATGTTCGGAAGGCCAGCAGAGAAATCATCGCTGTCGTCGAAACCTAAGAAATCAACTCGAACTGAGACTAAAGCGAAGGCTTCTTCCACATCGACAAGAATACAATCAAGCCAAGCAAGGGCACCTATTTCGAGGAAGCCACTTATTAAGGGAAGTGCTTCGACTGCGACAGAATCCAAGAGCAAAGTAACGAAAAGGCATCCGGGACAAGAAGAACAGCATTGTTTTTCATTCCATGTTCGAACCAAGCCTCCTTCATCGAAAGAATTATCAAATACGCTGAAGCGGGTCTTTCAATTGGATAAGTTGAGAACCTTGCAAGAAGAAGTCATTTCTACAGCATTGCAACCAAACACGGAAAGCTTCTCACCCTCCAATCCTACGTCTCAGTTGGTTGTTCTAGCGACTGGCGGTGGAAAGTCGCTATGTTATCAGCTACCTGCCTGCGTTCTCGGCGGAGTGACCATTGTCATTTCTCCCTTGATTGCGCTGATGAAGGATCAAGTATTGGGCTTGGAGAAGAAAAAGATCTCTGCGGCATGTCTTTGCAGTGCCAATACTGAAAAACAAAACAGTGCGATTCTCGATCGACTCTTTCCCACGGTGCCAAAAAAGGATCCCAGCACGGCCCAAGCCACCAAATTCTTTGGCGTCAAAGACAAGGCTGCCCCAAAGTCCTTGACTTTACTATATATCACTCCGGAATCGATACAGACCGATCGTATGCAGAGAGTCCTGCACAGATTGAATAATGAGAAGCGCCTGGCGATGTTTGCAGTCGACGAGGCCCATTGTCTTTCGAGGTGAGTAAACGATATTGCTGCTTTGTTGGTATGACAAATGATAATGCAATTCTCACTTTTGATTATTTGCAATTGGTTTCAAAAGTTGGGGCCATGACTTTCGACCCGCCTATCGCAAGCTATCGTGGTTGCGAACCCAATTTACAGACGTTCCATGCATGGCTTGCACTGCCACGGCAACTCCAAAGGTGATTCAAGATATTCAGTCTTGTCTTCAATTGTCAGTGATACATAAGGGTCGACTTGATCGTCATAATATCTACTACAAGATCAAGTACAAGAATACCATCCGAAGCAGCAGTGCCAAGAGGTCCTCTGGTCATGTTCTTGGCTGTGGGTCCGAATTCCAAACTGCTAGTAAAATCAAGGATGGTAAAAGCGCAAGCACAAAGCCCAAAACACCTCTCGAAGACCTGCAAGCCACAGTATTCAATCTTTTCAAGGAACATTCGACTGGAGAACTTGGATGTTGTGGGATTGTGTACGTGCACAAAAGGGACGACGCAAAAGGTCTGGCCCATGCACTCGGCCAAGCACTTGGAGATAAGGAAAAGGTTGGGGCCTATCACGCTGGTTTGCCCAAGAAGGAGCGCGCTCGGGTTCAAGAGGGATTTTCCAACAGGACTATTCCCATAGTCGTGGCAACCATTGCATTTGGTATGGGGATTGATGTTTCCAATGTTCGATTTGTGATTCACTGGAACATGCCTAAATCATTGGAAGCGTTTACACAAGAATCTGGCCGTGCTGGCAGAGATGGACTGCCGTCACACTCTATTTTGTATTACGATGCCGATGACTATTCCAAGTATGAGTACTTTATCAAACAGCAGTATCAACGAGACGGCGAAAAGACGAAGCAGAATATGGAGAGTACAAAGCGGCTATTTCTCGCCAAGTTAAAGGCATTGAAGGATATGAAAGATTACTGTGTCCTTGCGAAATGCCGACGCCACACTCTGGTTGCTCATTTTGGCGGCGATGTTGTCAAGTGCGGGAAGACATGTGATTACTGTTCCAACCCAGAGCGAGTGTCTCGTGACATTCAATCCAGTCTTGTAGCGGGATCTGACTCTGACAGCGAGTCATCCGTTGGATACGGTAAGGGCAAGTGGGATGGCCAATGGGGTCGGCCACACGGCGACATGGATGACGATGATGCCATTGCGAAGGATTGGGGAGATGATTTTGTTGGTGACTTGTTGATGGTGACCAACTCCTCGTCCAAATTTGGTGGCGGCGGCGGTGGTCGTCGTCTGGGGGGCTTCACTACTGCTTCGTCTCTGCTGAAGAAAGGAAATGGAAAGTCGTCTATTCGATCTGTCCTGAACAAATACGAGGTAAGAGAATTTGTATTTTGGACCAAGATGATTACGAATGTGATGCGCCCACACTTGCACTTACTGATCTTTTAAACTCTTGCACTCCAGCGAATGGAAGACAACCAAAATACACAGTCGACTGATGCATTTGAGCGCCCCACGAAATCCACCACGGCCATCATTCCAGAACACTTCAAAACTGCCTTGGCAGTCCAACAGGAAGTAAAAATTGTCAAGACGGTGCCTGCAAAACCAGCCAAGACCTCTGCCGACTTGCAAAAGGAGCTCGATCAGTTGAATGCGGAACGACAGGCAAGGTTACAAGCTCTGCTCGAAGCGCAACGAAAACGAAAACAAGATGCTAGTGGTCAAACGGCTAGTACGACGACGACTGCAGCTGCACCGCAACCATTGACGTTTGGGACTTCCAAACGTAGACGAATGTAGACGGCAGCAACCTGATGGATTGGTCCAAATCTTTGCAATGCCTCATATAGATTATTATCTCATTAAAAATTCAGATTCCTTTTGTTGTGCATATACTGAATACTGAATACTGAGGTTGGAGTATCGTTTTGAGCTTCACGTGTAGTATTGGCGCCAGCATCTTCAGTTGATTGGCATGTACGTGCCACATGTACTGTATGTATGTATCATCATCGAGCGAGATGAAAGCACGTCTTCTCTTTCCAAACACATACATGTACTGCAGCAAGGCGTGAAGTCATCGATTGTTGTCAACCCTGCCCATCCTTTCATTTCATGTCACTATGTGGTAACGGTACAGTACTGAATCATCCTGCAACAATAATGTTCGATCGTACCAAATCTACCGTATAGTACCAGTGCTGTACTGTACTTTTTCAGCGGGTCTGAAGACACTGGCGGATTGGATGACGATGCACCAAGTTGCATGTGTGTTGCATGTGTGGTCTCAATTCAAGCCGTTTCCGGAGTTGGCAGAATTGATTTTTAAAAATGGCACGCAAATATTTATTAAGGATGCGAGCATGTCGAGTCGGATGACTACTATTTACTTAAAGCCAACGTAAATGGATTGGCGGTATTAGGGATTTTGAAAAATGTTATGGGCCTCTATTGGCCCGAAGTTTTGAAAATAGAAGCACTCTGACATTCGTCAAAAGGCAACTCCGGCTTGACTACCATTATTGCGGTCAACGACGCATCATCATTTCTTGGAGGTCATTTTTACCTTTTGCACATCATGAAATCGTTTGGGCTTCTATTGCTTCTGTCTGCTTCCCAAGTGGCAGCAAAGCTTGGTGAATCGCATGCTCAGCAAGCGAATAATGCTGACCAACAAGAGCGACGAATGGCCTTGCAATTTCATGGATCGAACCCTTCGTTCAAGCTTGGTCGTTGTGAGGGAGATTGCGACCGAGATTCCGATTGGTGCGTCTTGTGTACTTTCTAATTTGTGTTCAAAATTCTTTCCTTTATTAAAAGATGCACTCATATTCCATCCTTTTTCTCTTTTTTTCCACAGTTTCAACTCGAATGGGGAGCAAGAAGGCATGGTTTGCTTCCAAAGATACAATCCAAACGAACCCGTTCCAGGCTGTTCTGGAGGCGATTCTGATATCAGTTTGTCGGACTATTGCATCCGAACGAGTGACTTGAATCGAGGGACTCCCACGAACAACAATAACAACAACAACAACAACAACATCGACACCAGCAACAACGACAATGCCAATGTAGGAAAATCGGCAACCACCACCACCACCACTGCGGCAGTCCCCATCAAATGGAGTACCAACTTTCCTCTGGCCTTGTGCGAAGGTGCGTCAATCTTGTCAAATATTTTGCTTGTTCTTTCTTGATACATCATCAACATTACTGAACTATTCTTTTCAATTTCATTCTATTCGTCCATCAGGGGACTGCGATACTGATTTTGATTGTCAAGGAGGTCTGGTTTGCTTCCAACGAGGCGGAAAGCAGTCTGTTCCTGGATGCCTTGGAGCCGAACATGATTGGTCCATGACAGACTATTGCGTTCCCAAACCTGGATCCAATCCAACTACTCCACAAACGGGAGACCTGAAAATTGAATGGAGCACGACATTTCCACTGAAGCGTTGCCAAGGAGACTGTAAGTTTGGTTGTTTGTTTCACGTCGAGTTTGTGGTACACACACACACTGATTCATTCATTCATTCAATCAATATTATTGATTATAGGTGATTCCGACATTGACTGTCAAGGGAACCTCAAATGCTTCCAACGAACTGGCGGCATGACCGTACCAGGTTGCATCGGCGCCGAATTAGACTCGAGTGATGTCGATTATTGCTTTGATGATGCCAATCGACAGGGACCTCCAGGCCCTCCAGCGAATCCTCCAGCACCAACGAATCCTCCGGCTCCAGTCGACAACGGAAGAACGGCCTATTACGTTGGTGATGGAGACTTTAGCGGAAACCCTCTTTCCGTATGTCAGGGGTAAGTTCGTCCACTTTGTCATTGTTATTATTAGTAGTATTGGATGGTCCATGATGATGATGATGCTGCTGCGTAGTCTCTCTCACGCACATGTACATTATATTCCTTGACTTTGTTCTTTTCTTGCAGAGATTGCGACACCAACGCGGATTGTCAAGATGGTTTGTTCTGTTGGCAACGGGACCAAGATGAGGCCATGCCATATTGTACCGGAGCAGCAGGTGCTATCGACTACTGTCTTCCAAAGTCCGAGTCCCCTGGCAAAAAGATAAGATTGTACTGGGACAATTACTTTTGGCAGGAAACTTTCGAGGAAGCCTTCTGGTGTATGGAGTGCACGGCATGTGATACTCTGACGGTCGGAGATGGTTGGGAAGGAGGTTGCAAGGATCCTCCCACTGGCAAGTGTGAGGAAGGACATTTGATTTGGATCCAAAAATGCAAAGAAGTCCGAGATCGGTTTGATATTGTCCAAAACTCTGGATCCGGTGATCAGATCCGTGTGCATGGTACCAACTTGTGCTTCACCAACCGAGAAAATCGATGGTTGGAGCTGCGACCATGCGACAAGAACATATCGAATCAATTGTGGGCGCCCATGAACAACCGTGGCAAGTTTGAGATACGACCGTGGTACCAACGCAGTTTCTCCTCCAAAGATGCCCTTTGTGTTTCGCAACTGCATCATCCCAAGGCCACCGAAGTACTTTCCATGAAAGAATGTTGGCTGAACATCCACTACGAAACCAACTACTGGACGGAGTGGTACTGAGAGAATAATAATATGCAAGAGGACTTGCAAATCAATCGTTTCAAAATGTCGCATCAATGGGGCGATGCGTCAAAAATACTACCTCGGTAATTGTTTTAAGGCATTGTGGATGCAACAGCCAAGTGGACAGAGTCCATCATTAGCATCCATGTGACTACTATAGTAGATACCAATAAAATTGGATCAGGATTATTTTTTGATTTTCATTTGAATTTTTCATTTTTTATCATTTATTTCAAAAGTGTGTCTGTCTGTCATGCGGTACTCAATAGTGAGAATGCGAACCAACAATAACTAAAAATCATCGAAGGATCGACGACGAAGAAGAAAATGCCAGATGTCAAGAAACAACGCGTACATCACTCACTCACTCATCATCCAACCTTCAATCATCCATTGTATCGTCCTCAGAAGAAATTCCGCCCAACCTATCATTCCTCATTCCTCATACACAATATAACGAACAAAATGTCGTCACTGTCATCATTGCTGCTGTTACTTCGAGTGGCCCTGTTGATCCACCTCAGCGGGGCTTGGACGACGACGACGACGACGACCAGCAATATTATTCGTCGTCCCAGCACTATGATTCCGACTCGATCCAAGAAGACGCAACTGCAAAGTGGGATCGGAATTGCCAAGGATTATACATGGAGAGAAGAAGCCTTTGAAATTGAAGTGACCGTCCAAGTTCCTCCCGAAACCAAAGCCAAGGATGTTGGCTTCAAGGCCAGGGCAAATTCCATTGAATTGACTTTGACTAAAAAAGTGGACGGCGGCGACGACGACAACAAGAATGAAACAACTACTGAAAAAGTAATACTGCTGGATCCAACAAGAGCATTGAGGGGAAGAATTGTGATTGATGGGACATATTGGGTGATTTCGGATTCCATCGAAGACGAGGTCAAGAATAGTGCCGCGGCAGAAACTGATGACGACGACGACGACGACAAAGAATCGTCAGCGAAACAGCCTGGTCGTCAAGTCACAGTCACCATTGAAAAGCAAATTCAAAAAGCCAAGGATGACTTTGACGTTGTGGATTACGATTGGAATGGTGTTTACCGGGAAGAAGAAAAGGATGAAGTTAGCTACCGCAAGTATGACGAACCCGAAGAAATGGATGTCCGGGAATATGCGCAAAGTTTGGGAGTCGACATTGACAATATTAACATGTCCATGGTGGACAAGTCCATGTTTTCATCTGGCTTGAACACGACCAGTGCCAAGTCGAACATGGAAAGTATGATGGATGCTGGATTGATGAAAGAAGTGACCCAACAGGGGGATGGATCGGAATGGACCATGGGCAAAGACGGTGAGCGGGTTCCCTTCAATTCCATGCTCAAGGACAAGGATAAAGATGATAGTCTCTATAGTGCAGAGGATGAAGAAGGAGGAAGAGAAAATGATGCGATACCCTTTCTGGACACTGATTCTCCTTGGCACGATGCACCGGATGCTACTGCTGCAGAAGAGGCTGCGAAGGACGACAAGAAAAAGAACAAGGCGTTGGAGGAGAAAAAGAAACAACTGGAAAAGAAACGACAAAAAGAAGCCATTGATCCCATATCCACGCTTACCGTAGCAAGACTTCGAGAAATTCTGCGTTCCCGAGGCTTGAAAGTCAGTGGCAACAAGAAGGAACTTCAAGACCGATTGCGGGCAGAAGTCCAATCCCTAGTCAAAATGGATACCACCGAGTAGTTAAAATGTATCTATTCAACGGGATCTAAACAAATAGGTCAGACATAATCTATTTTGAAAAGAAACGCAGTTGTGTCTCTCATTGTAATTGTTTTGGTCGGTCATACTAGTCGAAATGTATTGAAAGATTGACTTACTGATCGTGACGTGGCTGACTCCTTCGAGTGCTTCACGGCACTCGTTTGAAAATAAGCCAATAAAAACAACGATGAAAACAGAGAGAGAAGTCATCGAATACCTGAAACTACAGTATAAATCTGGATTGTACTGTACAGTATAGCTACCGTATAGAATTCAACTCTCTCGACAGATATTAACAAAAAACAATAATGGAATCATCTGCAGGTGATAGCAGCAGCTCCTCTACCACTCCTAGAAGCATTTACGAACAGACTGGTGATTCCTCTGCTGCCTTGAAAGGATTGCAGCAACGTCAAGGCAACAATAACAACAATAATAGGGATACTTCTACCAACCCGTACAATGAATTCTTGTGCCAAAGCATGGTAGGAAAGCGGCCCCTCTCTTCCAAATGGCTCAAACAATTGCAGAACAAAGAAGAAGAGACAGACGTTCTGGTCATTGAACAAAAGATTCCGCAATCGGAATCGCTGACTGTCTTGTGTCGGTGGATCAAAGCCTACAACAGAGGGCTTGCGTTGCTCATGTTGCACAAACCGAACGATACTTGGGAACTCGTTTGGACGATTTTTGATCCGGAAGTCATTCAAAACAAGAGCAACCTCATCAAATTACCGCCAAGCAGCACGACCGATGGCAACCAAGAAAGTAGCTCGACACATTCTCCAAGACGTACACCGGAAGATGACGAAATGGTTCATGTGTCTTGTCAAATGGCCTTTCTACTGCTACAAGCCCTGCTGACGCCCAACTTTGATTCGTCCAAATGTCCTACTTTCGAACAAGATTGCAAGGCCATTCTTACTTGGTTGGAATCTGCCATTGAAGATCAACAGCCCCGCAACAAGTTTTTGCTCAGCCTGATTCAAAGCAATTTGGAGCTTTCGTCGAATCACAAATTGACCGGAACTGTCAATGACAGTAATGTTCGAGCAGCTCGAAAGGAACTCAAGCAAGCCATGGAGATCTTTCAACACAAGCTAAAGACTGCGGCCACCACGACACAAGACAATTGCCACGAGACCTCGGCTCTCAATCTCAAGGCGAACACGGAACGATTAAAAGGCAATGTCAAGAAATCTTTGGTCTTATTGGGCGAAACCAAGGTGGACGATGACGACGAGGCATTGAGTCAGGAACCTACTCCCGAATCCTTGGAAGATCCATTGGAGATTATGCAACAAATGGAGCACTACAATAATTTGGCAATGGTCTATCATTCCAATGGAAAACCTAACTTGGCTCTTCATTCTTGGAGCAAGGCACTCTCCATTGCAACTTCGGAGAAACAAGCTTCGGCTATTCTGCAATCCAACGGAACGCCTCAGGCCAATCATCAAATTTTTATCCTTTACAATGCTGCACTAGGTTGCTTGCAACATGGCAAGTACTCGGCGGCTTATCAGTGCATGTCAGTTGTCGTCAAGCATTGGGTGCAGCGGGCAGATTGTTGGTTGCGATTGGCGGAAGCTTGTATTGGATGGCATTCAGAACTCAAGACTGTTGATTCGATTAACTTTCAGACAGTCCTCGACAGCAATGGGTAAGTGCTGGACTTAGGCTGCGACCAAGGATGATTCGCAAACACCATGGTTTTCTCACAATTGAATGCAGGAAAGTGGATGGCTTCTTATTGCAGAATCTCAGCCTACCAGATTTGAATCCAGCCAACTTGGCCGAGGTGATTGGAAGCCCCGAGGACTTAGAACAATTGGAAATGAATCCCTTGCCGCGGGCCTCTTTTTGTTTGCGCAAATGTCTCAGTTTGCTTGAGGGAAAGCAGAACAAGTCGGAACGAGAGCAACTTGTCTCCCTCTCGGCCCACCTTTCGTTTTCCTACATTTGTCTGAAACAACGAGACTACCCCAAGACTCTCCAACATGCAGGATTTGTCCTCCAAAGTGCTTCCTCCCTCATCGTTGCTTGCACACAACGAGTCGCCGCTATCAATAAAGGAGACGACGATGGTTCCTCCTCCCATGTGGCCCTAAAGGCCGTTGTCCAACGCCAAGTGGCAACTGGACGCATGTACGCGGCCGAGGCCAGTTGTGCCATGGGTGATGCAGCCGCCAGTATGAACATTCTCGTGCATGGAGGAAGCGATGCTATTGATCGTTTGGCGTCGGACTTGGCGGGGGTCACCTTGGAAGAAGCCGCCAAGAATCCCAGTGGCAAGGCTCGATTGGCCAAGGCACAAGCCATGGTACGGTGCAATGCCAGTGCGGTGACGGCTCATTTGAATCATTTGGGACCGGCCAAGCAGCTGGCCATGTCGGCACAAGCCATGGAAAATGCCTACCACCAGAATGCTAGCAAAAACAGCAATGGAACTTCCTCCACTTTGGGAGAACAACAACACGCAGCACTGAGTCGGTTGCAATCGCAATCATCTGGACCCATGTACGCCAAGCGAGTCTTGGCCTACTGTATGCTGCGCGAGGGAAATACGTCGGCTGCACTGCAATTGCTGCGATCGGCACCGCATTAACAAAAGGATGGATTGATTTGGGCATAGGGGTGCGAGGCTCCTATAAATGAATCAATCAAGAATCTTTTTGAAAGTTGCATAGACTGAGACCTTCTATTCCTATCCTACCTATACAATACGTCGTTACAACCTACCGGCATCATTATCATTAATCATAAAGTGGTTGTACATTTTAGAGGGCGGTCTTCTGTCTCCTGTCTGGACGTCAAAATACATACTGAATACTGCGTATCGTAGCGTATATCGTTTGATTCGTCCGACCGCATAACATGCCAGTCGCTCACAGTTTCGCATTCACTTATATTATCGCATTGTGATGACATCTTCAACCATATGTCAACTGTTGCGCGATTGGGTATATCCAGTACAATAGCTACCACAGTCAACGTTGGTACTAGCGTTTCTAAAGATTGAAACATGGAAGCAGCAGCAAGAGGATGGAGTCTCCAAGCTCTCACAATCTGTTTATTGACCAAACTACGTTCAATACGGCAGTTTCAGTATCTATAGCATTATCAAAGCAATCTTTGTGTGAATCATCATCATCGCCATGGCCCTTCAAGAGCAAATCGTTGAAACCAAAGGTGCTTTCGGACGCACCTCTTCCCTTTGCAGGAAGAAAGCGTTCGGTGGTAAGTACAATGAAACAGGGTCGTCCTTTCCCTTTTTCATTCACGTCTAACGTTATACGGGTTTATTATACTGATTGTTGCATATCTCAGGGACCATCGTCGTTCTCATTGTGGCATTAGGAGCTATCGTTTCCACTGTTTTGGCCGGGAAGAAATCGTCCACAGTGCTTGCCGATTCTAGAGCTATCGAACGCGACTACGATGATTTCACCCATGACAACGATAAGAGAAAGTTGCCAGCTGGCAACATTGATGTGTCTAAGCAGTGGGATAACTTTTTCAAGTCGGAAGAAGCTGAAGTTGCCTCGGTGCAAAGCTCGTCCGCTGATCACGATCTTACCCAAGCTCAGAGAAACTTGCGACCTGGCAAGTTTCCAACCCCTCCAGGTCTCGTTGTAGCCCCAGTGCACGCGCCGGTGCTGGCTCCAACACTTGGAACACGACCCCAATTCAAGCCTGCTCCGCCCTCACGACCAACACTGCAGCCGACACCTAGACCTACATCGGCTCCAACCCCTGGACCGACACCAAATCCTACTCCTGATCCTACGCCTGGCCCCACTCCCAATCCGACACTGGGTACAAAGCCGTCTCGAAATCCTACACCTGGACCGACACCAAATCCTACACTAGGTACAAAGCCGTCTCGAAATCCTACACCTGGACCGACACCAAATCCAACACCTGGTACAAAGCCGTCTCCCGATCCGACACCTGAACCGACACCAAATCCTACTTCGGATCCAACTACCGGCCCTACCGCAGCCCCCACACCTGTACCAACTACAGCTCCAACAGCAGCTCCGACCCGCGTACCAACAGCTGGACCCAGTCCAGACCCTACTTCATTGCCAACAACTGGACCAACTGCTGCCCCAACCCGAGCACCAACTTCTGGACCAACGGCAGCTCCAACTTCCCCTCCAACTCGAGGCCCCACTGAAGGCCCTACCCCTGCTGCAACACAGGCGCCAACTCCTGGACCCACACCAAGCCCTACCACAGCACCTACACTTGTACCGACTACATTACCCAGCGAAAGCCCGTCCTCGCGCCCTTCCTCTGGCCCTACGGTACCGCCCACGGCTGGACCAACTAAAGCTCCAACTAAAGCTCCAACTACAGCTCCAACTACAGCTCCAACTACAGCTCCAACTACAGCTCCAACAAATGGACCAACAAATGGACCGAGTCCCGACCCTACATCATTGCCCACAAGTGGACCAACGGTAGCTCTAACTCGAGCACCAACGAATGGACCAACATTAGCTCCAACCCGAACACCAACATCTGGACCTAGTCCTGACCCTACTTCACTGCCCACAACAGGACCGACAACAGCACCAACAGCTGCATCCACTCTATCTCCGACTTCACAGCCAACAACGCCATGTTTTCAAACCAACAGTGAGCTCTCTCGTGCAGTTGATCGATGGTTTCTGTCTTCTGATTACAAGGCATCAGTAGAGGCCCAATATGGATTGATCGGAGAATGGTGTTTTGGTCCAGGTGTCACCAGCATGAGAGACCTTTTCAGGGATCGTTCTACTTTCAACGAGGATATTGGAGGTTGGGACGTCTCTTCTATCACTGATATGGGATTCATGTTCTTGCGTGCAACTTCCTTCAACCAAAATATAGGATCATGGAATGTGTCTTCTGTCACCAACATGGAATACATCCTGAACCAGGTACCATCCTTCGATCAGCAGTTGTCATCATGGGATGTGTCCTCTGTCACCACCATGCAAGCCGCCTTTGCTTATTCACATTCCTTCAATGGCGATATTTCATCCTGGGATGTGTCTTCCGTCCGAAATATGTTTGGAATGTTTTATGGAACATCATCTTTCAATCAGAATATCTCACCTTGGAATGTTTCCGCTGTTACAAACATGGGGCGGATGTTCATAAGCGCAAAATCCTTCAATCAAGACATCTCCAATTGGGATGTGTCCTCTGTCTCTAACATGTATGGAATCTTCAGTGGTGCATCCGCATTGAATCAGAATCTTTGTCCATGGGGCTTGCGCCTTCCAAGCAATGCTGAAGTTAACGATATGTTTCCAAGCGCCAACAGCTGCCCATCACGATCCAGTCCAAACCTCTCCCGGAATCCACCAAGTCCCTTTTGCCACGTTTGTCTTCTACCTCCGCCAGAGCCTTATTTTCAAACCAACATTGAGCTTTCTGTTGCGGTTGATAGATGGTTTCAGTCATCTGAATTGAAGGCATCAGTCGAGGCCCAATATGGCCCGATCGGAGAATGGATTTTCAGTCCAGAGGTCACAAGCATGTTCGCGCTATTCAGGGACCGTTCTTCTTTCAACGAGGATATTAGCAAGTGGGATGTCTCTTCCATCACTGACATGAGATACCTGTTCGATCATGCATCATCCTTCAATCAAGACTTGTCTTTATGGGACGTTTCTTCAGTCACTGACATGACGTACATGTTCAGAACGGCAACTTCCTTCGACGGAGACGTGTCACCATGGGACGTTTCATCCGTTACTAATATGCATGGAATGTTCTCTGAAGCAACTTCCTTCAACCAAGATCTATCAGCATGGGACGTTTCTTCTGTTACCAACATGAATTGGATGTTTCGCACTGCATCAAGTTTCAATCAAGACTTGTCATTATGGGACGTTTCTTCCGTCATCAGCATGGGTAGCACGTTCTCCTGGGCTTCTTCCTTCAACGGAGACGTAACATCATGGGATGTCTCTTCTGTGCTATATATGAATTGGATGTTCAGCAACGCAAGAGCTTTCAATCAAGATTTGTCGACATGGGAGATTTCTTCTGTCGCAGATATTTCGTACATGTTCCATGAAGCAGAATCCTTCAATCAGGATCTTTGTCCTTGGGGCTTGCGCATTCCTAGCAGTGCCGATGTTGACAAAGCGTTTTTCGGCGCATCCAACTGCCCATCGCCATCCGATCCAAACCTCTCTGCGAATCTGCCAGGCCCCTTTTGCCACGTTTGTGTATAGATTAAGAAATATGTTTAGCTCTGGAGTGAATCATAGTATCAGCATCCTTCGCACTTCTATCAATACCGTACACTACGTGACACATTCATGCGTAAATTGAAAGTGTCATTGTTGGTTCTGCGTATTATATATGATGTTGGAAATTAAGGAAGACTCGTTCGACCCGACATTTGGAACACACGCAAATTGAAATATATAACGCGTGCGTATGGTGCGGTAAGAATAATTTGAATTCCGAACATTAAAACACAACATCACAGGAAATCCTGTTGAAAGCGGCGCAATAACAAGTCAGTCAGCATACTACAGTACAGTATCGGTACTACTCTAGTACAATTTCATCATGACAACAGAAGCCACCAACAAGTGCACCATCATTGATGGCAAAAAGACAGCAGCCACGATCCGTCAAGAACTCAAGGAAGAAATTGAGTCTTTGGCCCAATCGCACAATGGCATTGTTCCGGGACTTGCCGTCGTCTTGGTGGGCAATCGAGTCGATTCGGCCACATATGTGAGAATGAAGAAAAAGGCTGCTGTCGAAATTGGGATTCATTCCATTGATGTCACCTTGCCAATCACCATTTCGCAACAAGACCTCAAGGCAGAAATTGAGAAGCTGAACCAGGACCCCAAGGTTCATGGGATTCTCGTTCAATTGCCACTTCCAGAGCACATCAAAGAGTCTGAAATTCTCATGGCGATAGATTACACCAAAGATGCCGATGGATTTTCTGCACGAAACATTGGCAACATGTGGTTGGGGCGTGGGACAGGAGATCCACCCTTGGCCATTCCCTGCACTCCTGCTGGATGCATCGATTTGTTGCAACGTTATGAAATTGATATCACTGGTAAGGAATGTGTTGTGCTGGGTCGGAGTAATATTGTGGGCATGCCAGTAGCTGCCCTCTTGCAGTCCTGCAATGGAACCGTCACAGTTTGTCACTCTCGGACCAAGAACATTCCCGAAATCATTGGTCGGGCCGACATTTTGATTGCTGCCATTGGCAAACCCGAATACGTCCGCGGAGAGTGGCTCAAGCCAGGAGTCGTCATTGTGGATGTGGGTATCAATGACAAGCCCGATGCTACCAAGAAGCGGGGATACCGATTGGTCGGAGACGTCCACTACGACGAAGCGTTGCAAAAGGCCAGTGCCATTACGCCGGTTCCAGGAGGTGTGGGCCCAATGACCATTGCCATGCTCATGAAAAATACCGTCAATTTGTGCCGTCACTCGTTGGGACTTCCACGATTGACACTCCGAAACAAGATTCATAGATCTTTGAGTCATCGAGACTTTGTTCACACCACCATCCACACTACCCCTGATGCTGCTGCTGCGAATGGCACAAATTAATAGAATGACAAGATCAGTGGGTGCAAGCAAGTATGAACGATTCTGGTCGTGTTTGGGACAATCGACCAAGCCCTGAATCAATCAAGCAAGCACGAGGAAAAGAGTCGACTTTTGGTTTTTAAAAAAAGATGAAACTCGAAACTGCAAATGTCGTTTCAGATTGAAACGACAACGGATATCAGATACTGGGAAAAGCTCATATATCTTTCAGTATCCGGTACTGGCTAATGTTACTGCAATAAGTTCCTCTTGGATTGATCCAATCTTTATAATAGTACCGGTATCTATATGTATACTTGACTTTGAGGTGTTTGGCGTTGATAGACTGGTGATCGTACAAATGAGAATGTACACAGCCATGACTTTTCCTGTCAGTAAAAAAGATTACCATTACATTCTGAGCTGGAGTCCCATTCTTCGTTCTCGCCATGTTCTTGAACACATGCCGGAACAGCGACAGTACACGTACAGTATGACAGCACCCGATTTTGCAACCAACAGGCACAATGACAAAAGGTTCTAAATTCAAGTGTGGCAGAATCATGTTTGCTGGACTGGATGTTGCGGTACTGCACGGCTAGAGTTTTGAAACTTATGCTTCGTCGAGTTCAGCAAGCAGCCATCCATACACAATATGCATCAAGGCTAATCCTTTCGTCCTATTGATGGGGTGCCTGTTGGAATTTCTCCAAATCAAAGTCGCTGGCGTCGAATTCAAACTCGTGTAGGTCAGCATAGGACTTCATCTTGGTTTCCAAAAAGGAGATGACGCAAGGCAATATTCGATGGTCTTGTTCAAAGTGCTTGTGATTCTGGCAGATCGCTCCATGCATGTGACGCATCCATCGCCTGGCATTATCGGCAGTCATGACTTTGGGACCAGCTCGGCCAGTGTGATGATACCTGAGCCGAAAAAGACCACCATGATAGGCCCGCCCGCCTCCCATGGCATCAATCCAGTAGGCTGCTTGGACGTTGATGTGGTGCCGCATAGTGTCCAATCGTTCAAAGGCTTGTTTCAGTTCCACATCGCCAATCTCATCGCCCTTTTCTTCCGACACAGAATAGATAGACTTGTAGAATGCCTCGCAGATATCCAAAATTGGGTCTTTTCCCCATATACTATACAATTGCCAGAAGTAAAGGGATGTGGTCTGATCCATATTAGCATCCAGTGATAGGTCAATCTCTGAAGGATTGTCCACCAACTTTAGGTATTCATGTTGTGTATCAAGCGTACTGTAACCTTTGCGAGAAGAGTAGGGGCACGCCATTTTGTTTGTTTGTTCGTTCGTTCAAAAGTTCAAAAGAGACGCGGGTAGTCAGATTACTTGCTTCCTATTTCAAAGCAAATGAGTAATTTATGAGGACTGACTCTAGAGCATCCAACTCCCAACAACACAATCATTGAAACGGTAGGCTTTCTGAAATGTGCCAAAGAAATGAAAAGAACAGAATGTTTGAATTAGTCGGATTAGTCAAGCGTCGGATACGACTTGCATGCGATGCGTACATCGGTTTCGACTTTGGTGGATGAAAGCATTATAAAATATCAGGGACGTCCGGGAAAATCAACATTTACTCCAAAGAATTGTATGCTAAATTTCTATTTCCCGGCCGTTCCAGGAGCTGTGATGTGTGAACATTTGTTCTATATATCTTCAGCATGTGTGCTTCTAATGTCAGTTGCAAATTGCTGATGGAAACTATATGGGCTATATCAATATATACGGCATCGAGGTCAAAGGCGAATGAATCAAGAACGTGCAGACCAAACCACTGAGTTGCAATTATAATGATTGCGATTTGGTGGAAGGTATCCAAGCCCCATGAAACTCCAAGGGAGACCTATTTCCAGTTGGTGCAGTGGCAAGAACGTTCATAGTCTTGGCATCCAAAACCAAAAACTTGGTTTCTTGTTCTTTTCCAAAGTAAGCGTGGGTCAAAAGAACCCCATCATCCTCTTCGGTCCCATTGGGATCTGCCACAAACGCAGGCTCGGAGACGTACACCGAGTCCTGCTGGAAGTATGCGGCAATCTTGTTTTCTTCCAAGTCAAACTTGAATAGACCCCAATTGTCATAATCTGGCGAACCAAGTGCATATGCTCCAAACGAATACACAAATCTTGGATGTGGTTGCTCACGAGGAGAGACAGCAGTGTCTGGACAAATGTCCTTTCCATGGTAGGATCGAGAATATCTGGTCACTGGCAGCTCAAATCCTTGTTGAATATCTTCGTTCCATTCGACAGAAACCGTTTGTCTATTGAGATCACAATTGATATCGCAAAACTTGCCACCTTTGTGAATCTTGGATCGCCATTCCAATCCCTCTTTAGCTTGCTCCAGTCGCATAAACTGATGCTCTCCAGTCAACTGGTCTGGCTCCTTGTATGCACATAGACGAAGTGATACAATGGTACCGTCATCATTCGCAAGAAGCTCGGCTTGACTGATGCTGTGATAAAAGAATACCTTCTCATCCACTGACTGATCCAACACGAGATCTCCCGAGTTTAGGTCGACTACCAGAACACGGGTACGATCCACTTGCTCCATTGCTCTCAGAAAGCCCAATTCAATCATTCTGGAAAGGTCGACATCGAGCCTCAGTGGTTGCACCACAATGACCGCATAGTTCTTGGATACTCCAAAGGAATGAAAGTAGGGAACCCCATCCTCGCAGGGGGTGCTAGCAACCACCTCGCGCTCCGAATTGCCATCAAGATGTGTACTCTCTTTAACCAAATTGATGACAGGGCCATCGAGTCCAAGTTCCACGGCAACATTGTAGGTATCGACTGTATCCGGGGCAGAACGTTCTCCTTGGGCGTAGAGTGGATGCGCTGTCATGTCGAATGAGCGAAACGTTCAATAATAAAAAGTGTTAGAAAGTTGCCATCCATGATCGTAATCAGAGGAGCCCAACAGTAAACTTACTCGTGCAGAGCATTTCATAACCTTTTGCTCCCTTGGCAAACTTGTTCATTGTGGATGACGACAGAGTATTCATGCTGTTCAAATCAACTTGGGTTCGCGGCGGAGCATCCGTCATGGCCGTAATTGGTTTGTTCGCTTCTGAGCGATTAGGCTGATAGTCCCAAATATTGACAGGGGTATTGTCAAACTTGGTAACTGTATTCCACAATGCTTCAGCTATTCGCATGGGACCAGCTTTTGGTTGCTTGGAATGCATATCCAATACCGGTCCTGTGCCAACTCCAAATGGCAAGGAATTTGGGTTCTCTTTGTAGGCCTTATACCACATGCCTTCCAAGAATCGAGCTTGGTATTCGACGCTTGCGCCGGCATTCTCGTCTTCACTACTCTCAGTCGTCGTCGACTGAGTGATGCGATACGAATGAATCTTGGCCAAACCGTCAAAAATGTAGGAAAACATTTCGTCCTTGGTGGTCCAAATTCCACATCCATTTCGAATCAGCGTTCCTTGAACATAGGATGGAATATTTTGTTCCGTGTCTACCTCTAATGATTTCCAAGTCCGAATCTCATTGGGAGCATCGGATATCCAATCAACAAAGTTGACATTCTTTGGTTGTTCATCTTGCTTGGTGATGGTTTGGCTTTTGGAAGGCGCGGCTTTTGGTTGGCTACTAAAAGCATGGGTAGCCCAGTCATGCTTGTCAAACACTGTTGTCGATAGAACAACGACGAGGATGAAAAGCTGAAAACTGCCGCTATGTAGCATCATTGTGGAATTTCGTTGTTGCTTGAGATTTTTATGATGCAATCGTCATCACAATGAAGAATGGAAATGAAGTCAGATGGGTCGTATCTCCAAATGTTCACAGTGATCAGAACCTCCGCCGCTGAGGTCATCATGTAATGGTGGATGAAGGCCGATTTGACTATTAGCAAATCTACCAGCATACTTCAGAAAGATTAAAATATGTACAATAATAAAGTAGTTAAACAAAAACTGTGTCGACTCTTTTCCCACTTGGTTGTCGCAAGATGTTCATTCCCCAGGTCATGAGACGGCAGCCTAAAGGGGATATTTTTTAAGAGCTGTACTCTTCAATAAGATCTGTGAATCCTTGTACTGTCTCAATTTGTTGCGCCTCTTCCAATTTTTCCTGTTTCCCATCCTTTTTCACCACAGTCAAGCATGGCACCGTAGAAATTCCCAATTCAGTGGCGGCATGCTTCCTCAGGTTCTTCAATTTGTCCTTATATATAGGACTCTTCAAAATGCTCCGTATTTGATCTTCATCTGTGAAACCAGCCTTAGCAGCTGCCTCAACAATTGCCTCGGGATCACCAACCGACTTTCCAATAGAACAGTGAATTTGAAATAGAGCATCCATCAATTTGAGCTGTTGTGCTTGGGATGCAGTCTCGGAAGCCCAGATCATCAGGCAGTGGGCTTTAGCCGAGTTTCCTATCAGCCCCTTTCCTGTAAATGCAACACCCAAAGGCTTGAATTTACTTCCCAGTTCTTCAATCATGGGATCTAGAGCCGCTGGTGGAATCAGATTGGACAAGAACTTGTACTTGTCCACTCCTTCGGCTGGCAAGGAGTCATCCAGCTGGAACGGTCTGAAAGAAATGACTAGCTTCTCCTCTTCTGGCTTTAAAGACATGGCTCTTGTCAACCGAAGAAACTCCAAATAACAGTACGGGCAGGTGAAGTCTGAGAAGAGGACAAACTTTGCCTTTTCCGACCCGACCCTTACATTGCTGTCTTTCTGAATAATAGGTTGGAGCATCGCAGGAAGGCAACACTGAGGTCAGTCATCCATTCTGAAAGCAAGAATAAGGAGGTAGATATACTACAGTAACAAACATACCGCAATGCAGTTTCCCATGGTAATGCAAATGCAACCAATGAAGTAACACGGATGCTTATAGAGTATGAGGAACAAGAATAGTATGAGGGACAACATTAAAAGAAAAAGCGATGCGCACCTTCCTACGCTACGATGCAGCAGATAGCTGGGGGATTCATCCCCAAACTCGCTTTATGGGTCACCCCCAAATCTTGCAATACCACAATATGTAGTACTATTTTTGTGGACCCCAACTACCAATTATTTCAATCAGCCCTCCCGGGCGGCGCCTGCAGCGGGTTACAACACAGAAAATCTAAATAAGTGGGGGCATGCGGGGAATGAAAGGTTACAGAGAAGAACCCACAATCCTTAACATAACGGTAGTAGCTCCAACCGACGACGAGGAGTGGGAAGTTCAACTGGTGTATCTACTAGTTAAATTTGTGCAACAGGGTAATGCCGGTACCACGGACAATACACGTAGGTCTGCAAAGTTATGGAAGAAGCAGATATCGTACCGGGAGTTTGGCTCCCTTTTTGATGTTGTCTGTTCCGTCCGTCCGATCCGCCTAATGCACAGTGTTGAAGAATATGGTACTCGTATCTTATATTTTATCATGGATTCGTTCAACCTTCCAATAGCCTTGGTGGGAAAATTCTACTATTAGATCTTATAGATCAAGGTATATTGAGCAGGATTATTACAATATGATTCTACGAATTGAGCATATTTGAGCAGAAAGTCGGACTAGATATTCAAATTGAAAGAAAGCAGTAGTAGATATAAACAAAACTATACAGTATAGGACATCGTCGATTTTCGGAAACTACAAAATTGCCATTTTCGTTACCCCCACGGCTATTTCGCCGCTTCTTTTTGCCTGCCATACCCACATGAGTATTACGCAGTAGGATTATCTCAACATGTTTATATTCAGATTTGAAATTGTGTCGCCGTGCACGTGTACCTATCAGTAGACAAAACTCCTTTTCGACCGCAGCTATCAAAATTTTGCGGTTGCTGACGCGCACTTTGAACTTTTCAAAGCATAAAATATGTACACGTATATATATAAACAATATGATGTGATAATGGCGGATAGATGTACTTTTGTGGTGCGATTCCGGAAGTTACGGTATCAACGAATCTTTTGAAAATGTACTTTTGTGGTGCGATTCGATTCGTCAAGTGATGCAATCGCGGCATATATATATAAAATATTGCAAAATATTCAACATATACTTTTGTCGTGTGGTTGGGATTTTGCACATGTCGTGCAGGTTCCAAATCGTGGGGTACACCCAGGCCGCGTCTCGTTTGAGTGATGATCACTCTAGACTTGCAGGCTGTTGAATCAATCGAGCTACTCACTTGACAGTAGCTATGCAGATGAATCTATTATAGTTGTATCACAATATTTTATCAAATCATCCATCGATTTCATCAAGCCGCGGCCGCAGTGGGCATGCTAGCCACGAGGCTCTCGAGAAAACCTTGGAGGTGGCGTAGTCGCGAAATGTAACCTTTATCCACCATGACCACGTAGATGGAAACCAAGTACCCGACGCAGGAATTCCGCAAGTCCTTGTCCCCAATCTGCAGATTGGCCAATGCAGTATTGTTATATACCACAAAGAGAAACAAGGGATTGTGCTCGATGTCTTCTTGTGACGAATTGTATGCCAATGTATACAATTGCTTTGCTCTGTGAAGGTATTGGGGTGACCTTTCCTTGTCTAGAAGCAGTAGTGCCACCAAGTGGTGAGCAAGCGCTGTATTGAAAATGAGAATGGATGCAATGATGGCATAATCAGTCACGTTGGGAGGCAACGGAATGGCATGACTGTACATAAATGTTTGAGTTCCACATGTACGGTCGTCTTCCTGAATGTTAGCATGAAGCATGCACTGATCGGTTGAGCTTTCAGGTGAGGAGGAGGAGCTTCTCACAGGAGGAAGCATGCGGTTGCCTTCATCATGTTGTTCTTGCTGCGTTGGTACTGGGACGCTGTCAAGGGAGTGTAATGCCGACGAAGCTGACACAAGCGCACTGCAGTAGTCTCTAGCTTGGAGGAAAGCAATGGTTTGTTGATTCTGAATGATAACAGTTTGAAGCGACATTGTCTCCATCTTTTTGTTTGGTTTGGAAAATTTTATTGGAAGTTTCCTCACAATTCGAGAACACGAACCGGTCGTATCGTAATTCAGTCATCGACTTTCCACAAAGCTTTTCTTGAATTCCCGTCTTCTTCAACTCACTGCGTTACATCCACGCTCCTTATTTTCAATAAAATTGGGAAAGTTTATTCACTCTCCGACTGGTACTGTACCGGTAGGTTGTTTCGTCCTTGGTTCGTTCTTTTACTAGTCTCCGAGGAAAATTTATTCGAAAGCGAAGGAGGCCAGAAAGCTTTTGTCTCCAGAAGGAGGTGCGTACACGGTACACGTGTACCTACAGTTCCGTCACAAAGTTTCCGGTGACGAATGTCCGCGTCACCCATCGTGGTACTCGTACTGGTTCCGGTTTGCTCCAAATCCGCAAACCCTAAGCAACGTCTCCTCCATTTATATAGTTCTCTCGGATTTCGTTTCTTTCGGACGCTCCTTATTTTACTAGGTTTGTTCCTCCATTGTTTCGAGATAGCGCCTCCGCGGAAGAAGATTGATATGAAACAGAAAAAGGAGGTGCCACCAGCGCCATTAGTCTTAATTCGACGGGACCCTCAGTCTTACTACAGCAGCTGGGACTTGTCATTTTTGTGACAAGATATCCTGGTTACTCTGTGTCGGCAAACCAACAGCATCTGGCAAACACCAGCAGCATATCTTGAACCTGTTATTTCTTGCTCGATTATTGGTTGTTCTCGTTTGCCCCCTGTCCCCTCCTTCTTGTTGACAAAAATAATGAAGAAATTTCTCACTTCGAATGTAAATGTTCAGAATCAGTTCTAGGACCTACTATAAGCCACATAAATGGTGATTATTATCAAACCGAGTGAGCCATTCACGACCATTGCTTTCCACAGACTCACTTGCCCTCAATAATCATTCCTGGCAATGTCTTCCTCAACGATCTTGGGAAAGGATGTCAATGAACATCGTCCACAATTAGCTGCCACCATGCAACACAATGAATTTGTCAATCAAACAGTATTGGCGGTCAAAACGCAATTGGCTCAATACTGACTCAATTACAGTGTGGTACCTGGAAGCTAAAAATAAGTGTGCGAGGTACCTGATATGCAGCCATCGTGCAGGTTTGCGGTGGTGTAGACCTAGCACAAGTTGAAGGATCTTATTTGCGATGCAGTTTGTTGGGACACTGCGGAACGTCCAGAGTCTCTTTTGAGTGATTATCACCGGACCTACAGGCTGTTGAATCAATCGAGCTACTCACTTGACAGTAGCTATGCAGATGAATCTATTATAGTTGTATCACAATATTTTATCAAATTATCCATCGATTTCATCAAGCCGCGGCCGCAGTGGGCATGCTAGCCACGAGGCTCTCGAGAAAACCTTGGAGGTGGCGTAGTCGCGAAATGTAACCTTTATCCACCATGACCACGTAGATGGAAACCAAGTACCCGACGCAGGAATTCCGCAAGTCCTTGTCCCCAATCTGCAGATTGGCCAATGCAGTATTGTTATATACCACAAAGAGAAACAAGGGATTGTGCTCGATGTCTTCTTGTGACGAATTGTATGCCAATGTATACAATTGCTTTGCTCTGTGAAGGTATTGGGGTGACCTTTCCTTGTCTAGAAGCAGTAGTGCCACCAAGTGGTGAGCAAGCGCTGTATTGAAAATGAGAATGGATGCAATGATGGCATAATCAGTCACGTTGGGAGGCAACGGAATGGCATGACTGTACATAAATGTTTGAGTTCCACATGTACGGTCGTCTTCCTGAATGTTGAAATGAAGCATGCACTGATCGATTGAGCTTTCAGGTGAGGAGGAGGAGCTTCTCACATGAGGAAGCATGCGGTTGCCTTCATCATGTTGTTCTTGCTGCGTGGGTACTGGGACGCTGTCAAGGGAGTGTAATGCCGACGAAGCTGACACAAGTGCACTGTAGTAGTCTTTAGCTTCGAGGAAAGCAATGGTTTGTTGATTCTGATTGATAACAGTTTGAAGCGACATTTTGTATCTTCTTCTATAGTTTTCGGGAATATGAGCGGAAGTTACAATAGAACCGTAACATCCGCCCGATTTTTTACTATCCTCGATTTTTTCGAGAGACATGTACCGCTTAGGAAGTTTGATGCGAAAGCGAAGGACACGCCACCATCCGGTCCTAAAGCTTTTTTTGCCTTTATCAGGCAGGTAAACGTGTACATACAGCAGGTTCCAGGTGACGCCAAACCCCAAGTATTTTCTCGGAGGAAGATTGAGCCCACGGGACCCTTCCAGAACCTATAAATAATATTTGACGGGACCCTGAGACGTCCTGGAACCCAGTTTCACGCCTTTTACTTTGTTAGGTCTGTTCCTCGATTTGTTTCGAGATAGCGTCTCAGCCGAGGAAGATTGATTTTGAAGCGAAGGTGCCACTAATTGAACGGGACCGTCAGTCTTTCTGCAACAGCTGGAACTTGTTCACTACTGCAATCTGTTTCGAGATAGCGTTTCCGAGGACGAAACGATTCAAGGCACCCGGTTTGCTCAATGGCTGTTCCCGTTCGTTTGAGGCTCAAGAGACGGATCTCCAGAGACAAAGAAGCAACTTTTTATCACACTGTTTTGATTTCCTTTCGGGCTACAGTCGCAGTATTTGCTCGAAGCAATCACTAATAAGCCCAATTTTCGTCTTCTTTGATCAAACTAGTAGGTGCTCCTGCTACTACCCGCTACTAATACCACCGGTACAACATACAACACGATACCCCAGAAATTGCAAAACAATTTTTTTATCCCACATCATTTGGGGGCGAGGATCGATATATATTCAATTCGGGTTGCTACCACGAAGGCATAGCTCCCCTTTTTATCGATTGTAGCACAACGATATAAAACACCATCGCAATGCTGCATGAAACCAAAATACCAATACCAATAACAGTAACAGTAACAATTACAATGACAACAGTGATACATACACCCACACCCACACACACCCACATATATACATGCAAACAGCAACAGCGCATTCGCCATAAATTGTAATGCGTTGAAAAGGAACTCAACAAACTTTCCACGGAAACCAAACCAATAATGATTTCATATCACAGGACAGTGAAGACTCTGCAATGATCATGCGACCCATGTCAACCGTTGGCGAATAAGGGTAAACGGACCATGGAGACAATATTTATGAACTTCTCCTTCAGAATGACCCACAAGCTCTACATAAGACGACTTGATTGGACCATTGTTCAATGCGATGGCGCCATGGACAAGCTGCACGATGAGAACGCGTCATCGATTTCTCCTTTGAATGCCACCTTGAATGATGCCTTGGGCAGAATTCTTGTCTTTTGCCAATCGCGAATCTTGATGAATCGACAGCTTCCACGCGAATTTGTCGGGGGCTTTCTGTTTGGAGATGCGATCGGATTGGATTGGATTGATTCGACTCTTATTGGGGCTGAAAAGCGAATGTTATCGGAGCCCATCTTGGAACTAATGGCGAAAGAATCTCTTCCGGATCATCACGATTTCATGGACAAGGATATAGTGACTTTACAAGATGCTGCCAGTGAACTCAATAAGTCCTATGTCAAGCCATTTTGCATTGTCATGTGTCAAAAGTGGTTCATTCCCATCCAACCCAAGCCCAAATTGATCGACTTTTGAGATAATATACCACAAAAGTACGTCAAGCACCGACGATGCATCTTGTTGGGCAAGGCCAACGATAAACAGCCACTATCACAATACTTATGAACAAGAAGTTCGACTTACGGAACTTACGGAACGAGTCAGTCGAGGAAATACATGTCATTCTTTTCCATGCAGTTTTCCGCAGCGTTTAAAAGTCACTGCTCTCAAGATTGTCGATCTCATTCATGAGACCCCGGAAGAAGTGGTTCAAATTCCCGACGCACCAAGTCGAGACGGTCCCACGCACGAATGGCAGCCGTCATTCATGCACAATGATGCTGTCATCTTTCCCATGCTTGCGAGAAATTGGGATTGGAGTACACGGGACGATTTTCCAAGCAAAAACCAATTGAAGAAGATGAAATGGGGCCTATCATGGAGCAATTTTTGGTGTTTGTTGACACTGTGCCAATCTTTAGAGAGTTGGCTATCGAGTGTCTTGGTGACATGCTGGATTTCCAGAAGAAGAAAAATGGTCGAGCTGATTCAGCCTTGTCTCAGATACTTTGCCAGGAGCTTAACAAGCAACGAATCAGTCTCTGCACAAATGGTCCGAGGCGAAAATTGCCGTGACCGCCGCCACTTATCATTTGAAGCACTTGCAACAAGCCCGGCAAAATGTTCAGTGCAAGGATGTTTTTGCACCAGCTATGGGAGAATTGGAAAACGTGGTGCTTGCGGCATATTTGAAAGCCGTATTGGTACAGGACTTGGGCATTACTGTAGCTCCACTGCCAACCAATTCCTAAATCGCTCTTTGGCAAGGCTTTGAAAAACATTGGAGAGCTCTTTCAAAAATCCAAGGAAACCCCAAGCCAATGCGATGGTGAATGGGATCGATTCGTCTGCATTGCCAAGTTTTTGGAGACCCATTCTCTTTCTGAGCTGAAGGATTCCTTGGCCATGGGTGTCTTTTTGCTCTCGCTAGCCGAGATGTCAAGATCATGTTGGTCGCCTGTCACTAGCACCAAGCATCACCCAGACTAAATTGCTCTCACCAAATAATTAGCCAATTTTGGATCACAACGGTGAGAGAGATTTGGATCAATGATAAACTGATAGTCACAATAATCATGAGTCAAAAGTTCGTCCATATTGCATTAGGTACTGCTATTTTAACCAATGCGTGTTATAATATCTATCGGAATGAGTCGCTTTCTATTTTGGGCGGCTCGTTCAACTTTGGTATGTCTCCATACAATGCTTGGTCCTCCAAAATGTTCTTGCTGATTCCCGAATGAATCCTCGTCCACGTCAATGGTGACAGATGCGTCATCCACTCGTGGCTGCTGTGCCGCCATTATAAGATCCTTCAAGTCGACTTCAATGCTGCCCCCTTCAGCGACAAATTTATCCATGATGGCTTCCGCCATGGTATCCTCCATGAACAGTTCGACGGCTTGGCGAATGGCTGCCGGCCGGCAGTATCTTGTTTAGAGCAGGGAATCTCCTCTGAAAAACAGCATCAACTTTTCGTTTGCACAATTTGTATTGGCTTTCGAGCTCTTCGATGGGTCTGGTGTTTGTATTGAGTTCAAAAGTTTCAAGGAGATGGATCGATGGTTTTCAGTTTGATGTATGATTTATGATGGAACGGCGGGTAATAATACTGTACCGGTAAACCGATATAAATAGTTCATAGTGCCGATAGAACACTACTGTATAACAAAAGTAGCCGCGGGGGCTCTAGACAGTGCGCGTCAGCAGGGGAAACCAAGAGGGGAGAGACTGCTAACGTATGCGGTGCATAATGTTGGAGAGAAACCAGAACCCTTGACACATAGGTAACCGAAACAGAACAGTAGTATCTCGCCTGCATGTGCCAATCTATACTGGTACAAGTACTATACAAGTACAGGTAAGTCTGCAGAGTGTTGGACAAAGACAATCATCCCCTTTTAGTCGTCTGCTGTGTATTCAATTTGGACTATCTCTGTTCTTCGTTTTTGAAAATCGAATTATCGGACTACACTGACCGATACCACCAGTACACGAACAATATGACGTACAGTATGACGCACTTTCGCATTCTCAACTCACATCATCACAATTTACAATTCTCAACGTAAATGCGGTGTGCCTGTAACGTAACAACATTGCAGCATAGCAACACGACAAACAACTTTCAATTGCCGGTCGAAATGTTAATAACTTCTTAGCGATCTCGCTACTTCCGAATCTTGGGTATTTAACCCTGGTAGGACACTGTCGTGATAGAAGAATCTGATGGAGCATGGCTGGCTGAAGGAGCGAGTATCCTCGGCAGAAAGCCATGTCATGGATTGGATGCTTGATAAGTGAGATTCTATGCGGATATTATTCTAGATTGGAAAGAACTTTCGACCTTCAAATGTGCATTGCGGTCTAGGCCGATTCCTTGGTCGTCGAGCATCTGGGACTCTTTGTGTTTGACTTCTTGTTGCTGCTTCTTGAGGTTTTGATGGTGGAGGCATAGCCTGAGGATTCTCTTTCGCGGTGGACTCCTCCTCCTTGGTCTCTTCTAAAGGCTTTGCGACTTTCCGTGCCGTCCTTGCAATTTTCGGTGATTCAAAGCTTACTGAGTTTCTGCCCTTGATTTTTCGCAACCTCATTCTGTTGGACAGTTCATGTTGACCACGTTTGAAAAATGGATGCATGTACGATCCTCGGAATGGGCCCTTTGGTACCCGTTCAAATTCATAGAGGTTTAGTTGGCGCTGAAACGACTTGTACTTGGTTTGAGATCTGAAGTATTGTGGCATGATGTGCTGTTCAAAAGCGTCAACATCCTTGATTTTGAAGAGGCTATGCTTTTGCCATGAAATGATGTGATGGAAACCTCTTGATTCGGCGTCGTCAAGGCATGCGTGTAGCTTGATAGGGAAAGCACGAAGGTCGTCACTGTTGTCAATGAGTTTGTATGCATGAGAAGCTCTCATGTGTAGTGCACCATGATAGTTTGGAACATAGGAGATTGGTGGTGGCAGTATGCGGCCGTCATGTTGGCTACTCTGTCGGAATGTTTGAAGTACGTCACTTGCTGAAGAACGATTATCCTCATCATGCCTACTCGAAATGTTGGCTTGATTCATAGAGAATAGAGAGGGTTCAATTGTCAACGAAATCATTAGAGTTTGGCCTAGTGGTTTTTGAGGATTGTGAGAGCATCTGAGTATCTTTTTGAGTAGTAGAGAAACTTGCGAGGACGTCATAGTCCAGCGATTAAGTCGAGAAACAATTAGTCTTGATGGCTTTTGTGACAAAGTCGACGTCCCATGGTTAAATGTGGCTTCCGAAGGAGAGCAATATGTGGCAAGATTCGGTTCTTACATTAAATGTTTTACCAGACCGTCCACCGTTAGAGCTCGAATGAGAAACAAGAGCTCGAAAAAGTGAGAAACACCCAAGATTGCCTTGATTCATTCGACTTACGTGGTATCCCAAAAACCGTCAGACTGCCGTCAGAAAACTGGGTACTTGACATGGTCTTCTCGTTTTTTTCAGCATGCGTTAGATGGAAAAACATGCAATCAATTTTACGCCAATGAAATCAGGAGTGACATTTCTATCGTAAGCACTCGTTAGACGGAAAAATATGCCATCAACATAAGATGTAAATGAAATATTGAATGACATTTCCATTCTCACGCCCTTTAAGTGTCTATCGTTCATGGAGAAGGTGGACGCGATCCAAGGTGTCAACCTCAACAAACCCATCAACACAACCACAATGCGAGCCATCTGGTAACTGCAGAAACAACTGCTTCTCAATCTCCTCTAGCTTTGGTTTGCCATTTAAAATGAACCAGCTTTGCTCATCGATGATAGTTGATGGCATTCCGCCATTGCAAAATCAGAAAACATCACAAATTGTGGTGACATATGAAAACTCGGAATCGGCTTCTGTAGTCGGCATTTTGGAAGTTTCGGCAGATATGGGTGCAACTGGGGTCAATGCAGGTGCTAATGGGATAGTGTCTGATAGTGCAGTACCCTCACCAGGTAGAAGAAGACGTTCGATCTTCTGCTCGTATTGGAAAAACGATAACCAGAACACAAAAGAAAACAATGCGCCACATCAAAGCCGAACAGTGCAACGCTCAGAGTCTCCACGGTGTGTACTGCGGCATCCGTACGTTCAAGTCTACGCGATGTCTGAGAAGCACAATAAGAATTCCTGCTCAAGCAACAAGAAGGAGGATAAAACCGAGACAGCGTCTCGTCCATATGATAGCCGGCCGCTATTGCTTGCCTCCATGTGGAAATCTCTTCCAGCAATCTTTTTGGAAGAGAGGTCAAAAGCGCTTTCTCGACCAATTAAGTCAGAGCCTATCTTGGGGTCAAACAAGCTAAAGCCTACGCTGCGGAAGGGACGTTTCAGTGGTGGCTTAGCCCCACAAGATGAACGATGTAGAACTGGTACTAGCGTAACCTTTCAACCTCTGATCAAGATCCATCCCTTCGAGCCACCAATGGATCGTTGGGCGGAAAGTGGTTGGTCCAAGCAGTTTGGCTCGTGATGGCTTACATTAAGTTTACTCTAGCTAGCTTTTATCCAAATGATTCATGCATCTCTTTTTTTTAAATTCTATGATTACCTTCGCAATCGTTGAGACTCGAGAAATGGAAGTATACTAGACAAAATCAACTCATCGCTACAACAAACAAGGCAGTGTTCACGATCAATGGACTCAGATGGAACACCATACATGGATGCTCTTGCTGCTTCCGCCTTTGTAACTTCATCAATCTTTGCCTTCCACAAGGCAAGTTTTAGTATCAAAAGCGTCTCACGTTTCTCGTACCTTACAAGCTTCGAATGAACTTGACGCAAATGTCTTGGTCTAGAATTGAAACGCCACTCCTCACCGATACTCTCAACTGTTTCTCGTATGTCCTCCCTCCAAGCAAATAGTCCCAGTTTACGGACCCGATCTTCGACACTCGAGTGCACGACATACTTGTATGTTTCTACCGTTTCTGTGATCCATACCAAGGTCTTCCAATCGGGTTTGTGATTTGGAAAGGAGGTGCATTGCGTATCCAAGGCTAGGCGAAAGATCTCAACAGGCGCATTGCTGAGGCAAACATAGTGGAGAGGTAGCTTTCCTTGTTGGTCCTTGGTCATGAGATCGTCCAACCGCAGCTTCATGATTTCTGAAAAAACAGTGGTGTCGGAATGCTGGTGGGAAAGGGACAAAACGTGCAAAGGTGTCATTCCAAAGCAGTCCGGGGAAAATCCTAAACCATCTTTCGCCTCTTTTACAATAAGTTTCAATTTTAAAAGAGTCTCTTCCGAGGATTCATAGGCTTGCTCATAACACAGCTCATGCAAAGGCAGCGACAGGAAACGTTTCTGAAGCGCCAACACAATATCAGCACCTTCCGGAAACTGCTGATGCAGCTTGGCACAGAATTCGAAGAGGCCGGTTCCGAAATCCGAGACAGAGGAGGGAAGTCGAACATTCACCAAAGAGACACAGTAGTGAAAGACACCTTCACCGAGTGACTCCAGACCTTGTGGCGCGAATTCCACAGACGTCAAGTCATAACAGAACGCAAAGGCCCTCTTTCTTACTTCCACCACTGTCGAAGGGACGGTGAGTACCCTCAAGAGCCTACAACCTTCAAACGCTCTGACGTCTATCCGAAGAAGACCCTCTGGTAGATCCACAGTGGACAAGGATTCAAACTTGAGGAAGGTTTTCTCGGGGATCTCTTTGATGGATGGGTCCACCTTGACATGGCGTATGCTTCTTGGGATGTCATGGCGAGGCTGACCCGTATAGAGAAATACTTCGGCAGTCATGGCAATACTTGTTTGTGGCATTGGCTTTGTGGGGGGGCAAGACGTACCCGGTACGAGAATTAAGTACAGTGTGGGTATGGTGGATATGGACTATGTTAGGTCGTGCCATACGAATCTTCGAAGTTTGGACCGGAATTTTTGAAATTTTTCTGGACACTGACACGGAAGAATTGGAAAACGGGGGCTTTGTTCTCCTCCCCGCAGAGCACTGAACCACGAAGGAACCACGAAGATATTGATGCTATCTGTCAATATCAATGGGAATAACGACAACAGCTCAACACACCGTTAACAACAGATCAACAAACGTTCAGAATTGTAACTTATAACTGGTGGTAAAATAGTAACTCATGATGGCTAAACTTATTATTGTATTTTGATGTTGTGAAAATCATATTTGAAAAGGTGAAAATTGCTTGCTTTTGAACTGTGCCCTTCAAAGGAAAATTGTATAGCAAAAGGTATGTGTGTGTTCAGGAACAAAAACTGTATTGCAAGGGTGAATCGTGGACGTAAAAGTCCTAAGCGGCAGGGTTGTACTTGGGCTTGCCGGTATCAAGTTGAATCTTGATCTTTTGCCACTGCTTTATCGACAACAAAGATGGTGGCGGTGGGAGAGGGCCGCTTCCAGGCTTGCCAACCTTCTTTGCAGGTCGGATAAGCTGCTTCTTGTAAGCCTTGGAAGCGGTGGCTTTAACAACCCTCTTTCCTGTTTCCTTCGCATAGATGGCAGATTTCTGAAGGTTTCCAAGCTCTTGCAAAGTCTTCAGATCGTTGAGCAAATTATTCTGCATCATGCTGTGTTGCAAAGAAAGAGCCGCAGGACTCATGGGCATACCCAAGCCAGAATCCAATAGCATTGAACTCAAAGGTGAATTTCTTCCACTGTGAACGAGAGGCATCAATGCAGGAGAAAGACCCAAGAAATGGCCTTGGAATCCTGGCTGATGAAGAGGCAAGGTGCAATGATTCATGCTTGAGAGTGGTGCGATGGCAAAATTTGTGTGGAAATCGTGTTGGAGCGTTTCGTGGAAATGACTTACGTCGCCAATCGGGTTTCCTTCATACAGACAGAATAGCGAGAGAGGCGCCTTTCGTATGTGGTAAATAGGTAAAACGCCACTTTCAAGAGCGAAACTTCCAACTTTGTGAGAGAAGTTGTTTCGAACGCATTCCTCAGGTCAAAACTGTACTGTGGAAGCCGTGGTTCGCATTCAACGGAAATCGCGCTTCAGGTATGTCTTGACAACTGGTGTTCTTCGTTCCCAAATTACCTACGGAAGTTTATGGGACATCGTCGTACTTGGTACCATTTGAATCTCACCTTCCGAGAATGAAGTTGGAACCGTGACCAATTGATACACCTTCTTCCCTATCAACGAGCGAATTCGTGACGTAGTTTGAGGAAGATGTATTGAAGTGAGAAATTCCAGAAATTGAATTTTCTTAGGATCAAAAATTCGTCGCACTAAATCCCAAAAGTCTCTCTGTCGGCGGATTTGTAGAAAATATTGGTCGAGGTTTTGATTATTGTGTCTCACTGGAAGATGCAGATGTTTCTCGATCAGACACACAAAACATTTATCAACAAAGTGCCAGAGGAAATGTTTTACGAACACGAATAATACGGTACGTGCAAGACAGACAGCCTCCGTTCTCATTTGAATGACGGAGCCAAGTTAACCGCCTTTTTACTGGTAATCGGTTTTGAATCTACAGTACCTTTCGAGGTAACAAGTAAATGGTACCTGGTAATGGTGAAGGAGAAGTTGCAGATACCATGGTGAGAGATGTGGCTGAAAATGACTTTGACATGTTCCCTTCCAATGACTACCCTGGTAGTTTCATTCTATTCGTTTTGGGTGTTGTCGGGAGCTGGCTGGACCCGCGGCCTCGTCAGAGCGGCTATCATACTACTAGCTACTACACCAAACACTCAGCATTTTGAAAAATACGAGTACCCACTGTCCTCATACGACACACATGCTGAGCGGTGCTGGCACCGATATCCTACGATAGTGATTTGCTGGTAGATGCATCACTCACGACGACGCAGCAGCATGAACAAAGGAGCCCAGCAACGTCGTCATAGGGACAAGGGCTTGTTTAGCTTTTTGCTCATGATGAACCAGAAAGCGCTCTGGCCTGTCCTTGTGATCACGCGAGAACAAGGGAGCTCAATTTGGCATTTACCTCTTACCTCCGTTACGATAGTCATGGATGTTAATTGTTTGCGGTAGCATTGCAGCATGAGCAAAGATCTCAACTCCATGGTTGGAAAATGGGTAAGTTCGACAATGAACAAAGGAGCCCAACCTCGGGACTTGTGTAGTGTCGATTGCGTTCGCTATGCTTCGCTTCGTTTGGTTGCGGGCTACCTGGTACACCGGTACACGTACCGGTACGTGTACGTCCAACAACTTTTTTAGGAGTCAAATTTCGCGGGGGACTTCCTTAGTGGTGTTTTTCCAACCCGAACACAACACACATGGGATGACACCTCTTTTCCACCTTGTCGCCGGAAATGTACTGTAAGATATTTCAACATGTCACCGCCGTTACAAATAAAGTACGACAACAACAACAACAATGAGCAAGGAATCACAGGAACAGAGGAGGGATAGTAGAAGGGTAGAGATAAAAGAACTTCGCAATGTGAAGACACATAAGGATTCTAGGAAAGAGCGTAGGCTTGTCTTGGTTGGAGCCGGCTATGCCCATGTACGTAGCACTTTGATGGTTTGCATTTGATCACATTTTCATCAATCGCGCTTTTGCTCACAATTCAACAACATACTTCATCATTTATCAGCTACAAGTAGTTCGACTACTTTCGGCGTCCAAAGACAAAGTTGGATTCTCCAACATCACTCTAATTGATGTCCAAAAGTATGCGAGGTATCGTGGTATGGTTCCTGGTTACTTGTCGGGCTGTTATGAAAATTATCAAGACGCTTCCATCGATTTGGAACAAATATGTAGTCAGCCGGGTTGCACCTTTGTGAATGACGGCGTCATCGATGTCGATCTAAAGAACAGGATGGTACACTTGACGGACGATTCCACTCGAATCTCGTACGATGTCCTGAGCTTTGATATTGGCAGCACCACAAAATCTCTAGACGATATTCCAGGAGCATTTGAATACACCATACCAACTAAACCGGTTCAGGAACTTCTTTCACGGATAGAAGGCATCGAGACCGAGTTCCGGCAGAGTCCCAACTTGGAGAAGCACGAGCTGCGAATGGTGATTATTGGCGGTGACGTCAGTGCAGTGGAGCTTGCTTTGAGTCTTGTGACGAGGTGGAGGCCGTTCCTAAAAGATAGACTACAACTGACGTTGGTGACGGCTGACGAATCTCTGGTTACCGCTGCAACGGCGCGGATACGACACCAGTGCATACAGGAGAAACTTGTTGAAAGGGGGATCTCGATACGCTTTCGGGAAATTGTAAAAGAAGTCGACCAGAACTTTTTAAAGTTGGAATCAGGCTTACTCATTCCATTCACATATTGCATCTGGGCGACCGGTGCGGCTTGTCATGATCTTGCCCCAACTCTACAAGACCGAGGCCTGGCGGTTTCTGCTAATGGCTGGATCGAAATCAACAATTCCCTTCAAAGTGTGTCACATCCAAATGTATTTGCCGCTGGAGATTGCTGCCAGTCATGCTCTCTTGACGTTCCAAAATCTGGGGTATTCTCCATTCAAGAAGGCCCAGTTCTAGCGCGCAATCTAAAACTCTTCAATGCCTCGCGAAAGACGTCATCGACTGCCGAGGTGCACAGCAGTCACAATTTGGAGCAGTTTCATCCAGACATTCATGGCGGGTTTCAGTTTCTCGAATGTGGCGACGGGACAGGTAAGGCGGCAAGCAGGCTTTGGATGGCATTCACGCTCACATGGATTGAAAATGAACAATTGACTAATACAGTTTGCTCTGTTTGCATTCATTCGGACTGTCTGTCGGCTGTAGCAATGGGATTCACCTCTGAACTCTTCATTCACGGTAAGTGGGTACAGGCAATCAAAATGGCAATGGACCGGGAATTTGTGGTTTGGTTTGATCATGGGCAACAACAACGTCCTGGGTGGGATTCGAGTCACATTTCCATCAATGATCATGTGTTTGCTGAAGTGGGATCCATGATGAGTCCTGTCGAAGGTGCTGCCCTGCTGGAATTCATCACAGTCGACAACTACCGCCAGGCATGGTGGTTGCTGAAGCGCATGGCCCTTGACCCGCACTATCGCACAAAGGTGCTGGAAGAATACGCCAACACCGTGGAAATGCCCACACCAGAGCATTTTGGATTTGACATGGCGGCGGCGGCATCATCAAAAGACGACCAAGTTGACAAGAGGACGAAGGTGAAAGACCAGCAATTGGGAAAGGCGTCACCTGGCATGGCCACAGCACCACAAGCCTCCTGTGCGTAGCACGATAACTATCGGATAGATAGATCAAATAAAAGTTGGCATTGCAGCGCCATTCCATCTCGATTTTAATCATTACATCAATCAATCAATCAATGATCAATCGTTCAATCAATCATGTACAACTCCTTGGCGTTCTTGTTAGTAATTTGAATAAGTTCTTCCTCTGTAATCCCAAAAGCATCCGAAATGACTCGGATCCCTTCCTTCATCGTCGCAGGTACCTTGTAGGCTTCCTCGTGATCCGTTTCCAAGACCAGTCGTTCCAATCCCACTGCACGAATGACGTCCAACGTTTTGGGCGATTGGAAATTTACAATTGGAGCAAATCCAAAGTAAACCTTGGGACCTGTAATAGTAGTACTAGATTGTGGCTTTTCTTCTTTGGTAGCAACCAGAGTTTTATTTTCTCCTTCATCTCTTGGTTTCTTTTTCTTTGGCCTTTTTGGTTGTTTTGGTTCCAGTAATCGTACGAGTTGAATCACCGTCGCCGCCTTGCCTCCAAAGGCATGAAAGTAGATCCGTGGCGGCAATTTGTGTTGCTGTTGCTGTTTTTGTTGTTTGGAATCCGTCTTGGCAAGTAATATTTTATTCCAAACTTCCAACATGGATCCCATGGCCCGCACGCAATGCAAACTGACTGGTCGTTGGTATTGGATCGCGAGTCCAATTTGCAATTCCATGGCCAACATTTGGGTTTCCATATCGGTCGATAATTCTTTGGTGACTGGATCATTGAAATGAAAATTGTCCAATCCAATTTCTCCCACGGCAATGGAAGGATCGGCTTGCAAGAGTGACTCCAATTCGCAAACCCAGCGTGGCATAGGAGCACCTTTATTCTGACTGGAATCATCATGTTCTTTATCATCATCATTTTCATTGTTTGCATCAGCAATAGCATCTGCATCGGATGGTGATGATATGATTTCCCAATCTCGTTCAGTAAGTTCGTGCAAAAACCATGGATGAACCCCCATGCACGGAATGATACTGCCTTGGTCGAGTAGTAGTGCCTGTTGATTATTATTGTTATTATTATTATGATTATTTCGCAAGTCTGTCACAATGGGAAAATCTCGGGGATGGGTGCTCATGATTGCCATGCCAGACAACGAATCATTCAATAAGTCTAATATGCTGGACGGCGAGGAAGAAGATCCCAAGTGTACATGATTGTGAGCATCGAATGGAAGCAAGACCATTGTATACCAGTTACTCGTCGTGATGATGATACTCTGATACAATATGGTACCGGTAGTATAAAATATGCGGGATTTGGTGGTGTCAGAAATTAAGCTATTTATTTCGTATCGATTTTCGTGTCGCATCGACGTGCGTGACGCGCCGCGCGTGCAATGTGAATGTCAAATGAAAATGGCAAAAAATCACGTTTTTTCACAGCTCGTTGAAACCTTTTGATACAAGACAATGGCGATAAGAATGACTACAGCCATGGCGCGAAAACTAACAATGCGACCATGAAGACCAAAATCCATGATATGCTAGGCACCAATACTTCTTTCACCATTAACCGTGAAGACGGAAGAGCAAATCGGTTTGGAACACACGTTGCCGTTGAGCCGAAACCGTGGAAAAAAACTATGCTCACAACTTTCGATTCAGTTTGAAACGGTTGTCGACACTAGAGTTTCTACTGAGCTTGGTACATCTTTCCAAAGTCGAGACGTTTCTTGCTTCAGCAGAGCAACTTCATTTCACAACAGAATCTGCTCATATTTTTGACATTCGATCAATTGCATCGACTCAGTCCTTTCAAATAATCTTTTGAAACAACAACAACAACAAAACATTTTCCACCATGTTGTCTCTTCGATCCATCATCATGATCTTTCTTCTTTTGGCCATGCAGCCGATGGCCATGCCTTCCTTGATGAGTGCAAACTACACTCGTCCATCCATTCAAGTCTACAGTTTGGCCAACGAAAACATTGTTTCCACTGTTGACTTTGTTGGAACCACCGTGGAAATGGAATCCACTGGTGTTCCTTCTTTCTCCCTTGCGGAGTTTGTCATGTCTATTGACTACGAATCGGTCAAGGCTTTCACACAAGACTTCAGCAAGAAGTACGAAGCCTTCGCCGAAGCATTCACTGATGCCATGTCTGCCATCTTCGAGTTGTTCAGCATGGAGTACAACGCATACAAGCAATCGATCAACTACGAATCGATCAAGGCTTTCGCACAAGACTTCAACGAGAAGTACGAAGCCTTCACCCAAGCATTCACTGATGCCATGTCTGCCATCTTCGAGTACGAAGCATTCCACCAATCCATTGACTACGAGTCCGTCATGTCTTTGGCAGAACTCTTAAATGAGCAGTACGAAGCATACACCCGAGAAGTGTCTACTGCCATGTTTTTCAAGATCGGACTCTTCATCCAGAAGCTCGAAGCATACAACCAAGAGTTCCGAGTCAAGTACCAACGAGTCTACAAGGAGCTAGAATATGTTGCCACTGACCTGCTTGCTGCAGCTCCAGCTTGGCTAAGCTTTGACCATGAATTCATTGTCAGAGATGTTTTCGACGGAGTGTTATCCTACACCACCATGGAACCATTCGTCCCAGCACCAGTTCCACCGTTGCTATCCCTTGAGGACGCTCAATTGATTGCAATGGAGGTATTGGACTCGACCGCTTTTGGAGCCATTGTCATTGCCCTCCTCGTCGCCGCTGTGACTATGATTTATGCCAGCAGTGTCATCGATCGAGGGCTCGTTTCCATGGAAGATTTATCCATTGTCTTGGAGACACCCTGTTTGTCCATGACTGATTTGAGAAAGAAAATGACACCATCGGTCATACTCCGTTCTGCGGATGCTTATGCTAGGTATCAAGCCAGTTGCGACAAGTCTAAGGACCCTTCCATCGTGGACCTTTGCAGCCTATTCGCCAACATTTCCTTTCTGAAGGATACTACGGATCCTTCTAAAAATGAGAGCTTTTGAAAAGCGACTGACTCATTATGTTCATCTACCTCTACCGTTTGACCCTCCTGCAACATCAAGGAGGCCAACTCGATCTTTGGGAGTTGGCCTACAGGGGTACTGCTGCACCAAAACATTGCAGTAGGTGGTCGCGTAAGTTAAGGAGGACATACAAATAAAATCATCAGTGAAAATGAGAGGAGGATACTGTAGGATGGATGGCTTCAGAATAAGGTGATGTGCAGATATTATGGAAGCAAGGTGGGAGCTCAGTGCTCGAAATACTACAGTATTGATGACGACACTCAAAAGTCGTCGGAGCTTCAATAATACAAACTTTGAATGGGAACAATAAGTTCGAAGATGAACTATAAATGTTTTAAAAAATAATAGCAATGGATGCAAAATAAAACATCAGCCAATCGTAGCTGGTCTATGAATACCTAAGACTATTTTCATCTCATCTATAATTCAAATAATATTATTGTAGATACAGGAAGTTGCTATTTGTTGTCCATCCGCTTTTTCGCTACTACTGCTTAAGAAGACTCGACGACTCCAAAGTATGCACCCACATTGGCCAGGATAATATCGGCTTGGCACAGATATCGGCAATCTTCCCTACCACCACCACTGTCGTGGTGTCCCGCCGTTTCCTGAATTTGCTGTTTCCACAAGGCCAGCTCCATCACTGCCAAAGTCTCATTCAATTCACACCGTTCGAACGAAGAGCATGCTTCATGGAACAAGCTGAGTCGGCGTTCCTTTTCAGTTTCACCAACAATAGCTTCCAACGCGGCCTTTCTTCATGTCTTTCCCCCCAGCGCTCCAACGAACCAATCGCCCAGCGTCGCATTGTCGCAGCATGGCCATTTCAAACAAAAACTCCAGTTTCACAAGTCCAATTCGAGACGAAATGGTCCATTGCTCGTTTGCCATTGGCATCTTTCTTTCCAACCGAGCACACGATGTGGGTAGTATACTATATAGATGTTGGCGGGCGGGGCTCCACAGAAGAGCATGGTATATATGAAAAAGGAGTGAGTGAGTCATGCCAAAGTTGTCTGCGACGGAATGTCCTGCTTGTCCTTGGGTGGTGTCGATGCATCGAAATAGCTTGTCTTTGGTCGTCCTTGATGATGATGAGTGGCATAGAGTGACTTATTGTGGACTGGATGCTATTCATCGAAACGATGAATAAGACAATCCACAATATATCATCTTTGTTTGCACCGCACAACACCATTCGTGCAGCATAGAGTGTGAGCCCCTTCGGATCGTCCCCAAAAGCCCCCTACATCGGCTTCACTCCCTAGCGGGGGCAGAATATTGACAAGGGACATGCATCGTCCAAAGGAATCGTTTTCGATCCAAAATACTGCTGGGATACGGTCGGGTATACCATTTCCACCGCGATGTAATTGATCGAACCATTTAGGTAGGCGGACCGCCTGTAGGAGACTTTGGAATTTGCAAATAAACTATATTCAATACGGAATCTCGCACCACAACTATGTCCCGAGAAGGAACGATCCGCCTCCATCAACAATGAACTATACAGCCGCAAAATAAAGGCGCGGTTCTCGAATAAATTCAAGCTCGATGGAGTTGTGATTGATTCGCTCCAAACCAGAGTATGAATAAATGAACTTTTCCTCCATTCTTTGCAAGGATGACGGTTCAGCGAGACGAAACCCCCTTTTCAACGTTTTGTAGTAGCTCTATATTCATTCGTGTTCATCAATAATGGTTTCTGACTACGGTACGTGCTGGCGATCGTGAGATTTCAGTCAATCTACTAGAAATTGCCTCAATGATAATCTTTGAGCTCTTTGTCTCCTCCATGCAGCTCTTTGAATTTCTCGCTGTCTTTCATCGCGTTCATTTCCTTCCATTTCCATTTGTTCTATTCTGTTATTGGGGCGGCGATGATGTTCAATGATGATGATGATGATGATGATGATGATGAATGAAATTGAAAATTTCAAATTTGAATCACCAATGTCTGGTCTGTCTGTCCATCACACCATCACACATGGATGGATCCATTGCCGCAGGTTTGTGATTTTCAATCGATCGTTGCCCTTATACTGTTATAATACATCCTCTCTCTCATCTCGTTGGATCGATATTGAAGACTACCGCACCTGCACACTGTCGGTTCAGTAGTATATTACAGCACCAGTAAATTGCACACAGCAACGCACGTAACAACTCAATTGCACCACCAACAAGACGAGCAATTGTAGCCAAGACAACAAAACAACAACAACAACAACAACTCAATATCCGCACAGAGACAAAAAGCTAAAACGAATAATCACAATGACGGAACCAGCTCCTGC